ACGAAACCCATTTACAACTGAAACCACGGTCCAGAAAATGAGCAGCCTCCTGTTGAGACACCCGGGGAAACCAAGGCCCAGCCTAAGCAGAGCCTCTAGCCCACTTCCCTCCTGTCAGGCTCTCCCCCAATGCCTCAACAGGTGCATCTCCTATATAAGAACACGTGTGTACATGCATGCACACATGTGCAGTGACACGGGGGCAGGCAGACTCACAGGCCCCAGCCACCATCGGGGAGCTGCACCGACCGCAGGTACCGTTCCATCTCTTCTCTATATCCAGCTGGCAGAGGGATGCGTGCCACGTGGCACACGATCAGGAGGCCTGTGTGACAGAAAAGATGTTCCCTGCTGGGAGCAGGCACTCAGCACTGCTGAGCCCAGGCCCCTTTCCTCCTGAGGAAGACTCCATTCAACAGAGAGCTGTCCCAGAGGGTCTCCTTCCCATGGAAACGAGCCTGGGAAGGTTATTCCTCCAAGCCCCATCAAGGACTTTGGGAACAGGGCCCCAGCGAGCAGTAGCAACAGCACATGTGACACTCCCCACACAGGGCGTGCAGAGCCCACCCAGCCACTCCAAGATCCCACAATATTGTCACACCTGCTACAAAAGAAACACCAAAGGGTCACCCCTACATGGGGTGACACTGACTTGTTTATATTTATACTTTTCTGTTTTATAAATTTTTTAATAGCATACGTCACTTTGCAAATGGGGGAGATGGACAACAATTAATATTATCCAATATTGCAACATAAAAATAAATATTATAACCTTCCCTTCCCAGCCAGGCCCTCCTGAGCATGGTGCTCACAGGTTCCCCCCCGACTCTTATACTCCACCTCACCCCTCATCAGCTCCATCAGCCACATGCCCAAGGCACCTGGCACAGGAGGGTCTCAGGGCAGGCCCTGGCCACAACACACTGTAGAACAAATGCCTGACTCTGGCTCAGAGGCATTAGGAGCCCCGATAGAGACACTTGCACAGCAGACACGCCCTGGAAGAAGGGCAGCTAGGTGCAGAGATGCTGCAGAGGTTCACAGAAAACAAGCCATCCCAAAACAAGCCTATCTTCTTCCACAACAGTTATGATGTTCTCAAGACAGGGAAGCACACAGGCAGGAAGCAGAGCCAGCGTCTTCCCCATTTCACAGGCAAGGTAACAGGCACAGGCCCTAAGTGGTGGGACTGGGGCTGGAGCCCAGGGGGTCGGACCCCAGAGTCCATGCTCACCATAGTGATGCACGTATGTGCATCTATGACCAAACCCAATTCTCATCATCCCCATGTCATAGATGAGGTGGTGGCCAAGGCAGGGTGAGGTCCTGTCACTTTGCCCAGGGTCAGAGCAGGCCAATGCTGTGTCATTGCCACTCCATAAAGACCTCTGGGAATAGTCAATGCCCCATGGGCCACACTCAATGGGGAACTGTCTACACAGATTCATGGCCCCCAAGAGCATCTTCCAAATTAAAGCATGAAAAAAAAAGACTGATCAAATCTCAGCCAGCCATGGAAGAACCCTGGTATGACACCCCGAACGGGCCAATGTCAACCTGAGAAAGACAATCTGTTCAGACTCCAGAAAGGGGAGAGGAAAAGCCCCAACCTGCAGTTGAACAAGGGAGGGACCCCGGTAGGCCAGGCCCAGAGCTGCAGCAGCCAGCCCAATGACCAAGTGCCTACCATATGTCTGGTGCTGTGTACATATAACCGAACCCGATTCTCATCACCCCCATGTCATAGATGAGGCAGCCAAGGCACGGTGAAATCCTGTCACGTTGGCCAGGGTCAGAGCAGACCAATGCCATGTCACTGCCTCCCCGTGAAGACCCCTTAGAATAGTCTCAGCAGGCTCCAGGTGGGGCCAAGAGACGAAAGAGCCCCATGACTTGCCCCCAAGGACAGGCACATGGGTCCGTAAACAGGAAGATACCACACTGTGCAGTACAGAAGGCAGCAGGGCTTGGAGTCAAAGCAGAGACAGGAGCTTGATGATTCCCAGTGCTTCTCCCACTAGAGAAAAGGGTCCTCTGGCATAATCTCATGGGAAAGAATCTGCTGTTATGAGGCTGAGTATTTCTTTAGAGAAACACTTCCAGGATGCAAAACAGTCCTGTCTAGCCAAACCAGTTAAGTATCCAGGGGGCCCAATTGCCATCTCTTACAATTCACCAACCTGAACCCGCAGCTCCCCTGGCTGAGCTCCCTGGCTGAGCTCCCCTGCCACCCCTTCAGGGTGAGTTCACACGCCCAAGCTGCCTGGCCTCTCCCCAGCCTCCCACAGAGGACTTCAAGACCCCCACCCACCACCCAGCCCACCTCCAGCACCTTTGCGTAGGCTAGGCCCTCCACCTGGAGTGCCCCTATTCTGCACTAGGACTCAAGAGCCACTCCTCGTCACAGGGATCGCTGTGCTTCACTCCATCCCTCAGCACCAGCACCAGCACCAGGACCAGGACCAGGACAACTCAGGCACAGGGCAACCCTCCCCAGCCCTTTACCATGTGAGCGCCTGGGTTTTCACCTGCTTGCTCATTTACACCACAGATGTTCACCAAGAGCCTGAACCAGGTCAGGCCAGGACCCCAAGGAGGCCCTGGGGTGGCCATGCCCACAGGCCGGGGCAGCACCCTCCTACCTGGCAGGAGGAAGAGCGGGCCACCGTAGTCACCCGCCCAGTGCCCATCCTTGGCCTGCAGCCCCATGTAAAACGTCATCCCATTCAGAGCCCCCTCACGGGCCGTGTGGGCTTTGGGCAAATCCTTAAAGTAACTCCCCTGCAAAGAAGAAAAGAGAGGAGAGCTGAGCGGGTCTATGCCGAGCCAGAGGAGCCCTCATCACCTACAGCCCAGGTCAAAATAACGGATCTGAATTATGTTAAAAGTTTCACCAGTATCAATCAAAACTCTGAAATTCTTTGATGATGGTATTACCAACTCAGCAAAATAAAAGGATTCCACATTCTCATGGTTTTGCTTTCCAGTCACATATCTGCAAATTTCTTCACAACTTCTCCAAGACATCTTAAATAAATAAACCACACACTCAAGAGTTTGGGGTGGGGCACTGATGCCTCAGGCCTGGAACTCAGGCCTCTCTCGGGAAGGGGCCAAGGGACAGCACAGCGAATGGCAGCCAGGGCTCAACAGGGAGACCCCATTTATACTGCACTCTCTGACCAGCTGAATTCCTTATATGAAATTCACTGGATCAAAAAGCTTTTCCTGAATAAAAACAGAACTAGAGCAGTTCCTTACACACAACTTAGTGATAAAGGGACTGAAACAATCCAACTCCTGCTCTGTCTTTAACTCAAAGGATTACTGTGGGAACCAGCATTGGTGACATGTGACACAGGCCACAGATGACAGCTCTCTTCTTTTTTAACAAGGAAGAAACCGGCCTTCTCAGCCAGCTCTTGAGAGCTCCCGACTGGTTGCTGGCTAAGGAAAAGGGATGCTGGAGGGTTTCTGGTGGCCACCCAGACACTGGCCGCGACGAGCAGAATTGACCGCTTACAGTATCCAGTCCCAGTAAGTGCGCTTCCAGCCCAGTCTGCGCTCGGCCAGGGTCGTCGTCTTGAAAATACGTCCATGTCTGCCTTCCCTTCTCGTTGCTGAGTCGCCAGCGGCTGAGGTCGGTGGCCGGCGCTGTCTTATAGGGTCCCCCCCGACGCCGCAGACACCTGAAAACGGTCGTGCTCCAGTGAGGAGCCGTGCCGCCTGCCCTTAAGAGGGCCGAGCCCACAGGCGGCCACGACCTCAGCGCCTGCTTCCAACAGCCTCCCAGCAGGCCGCCGTGCCGCTCACCACGCAAAAGGAAACCTCCCCGCCCCCGCCGCCTCCAGCCCCTGCCCCACCATTTCTCCCGCAGGGGGGAGACCCCTGCCCCAGCCCCCACCGCCTCCAGCCCCTGCGCCACCATTTCTCCCGCAGGGGGGAGACCCCAGCCCCCCGACCTCCGTCCTCCCGCCCCTGCCCCACCAGGACCCGCACTGGCACCGGCTCTCCTCAGCCCCGAAGCATCCGCGGAGCTCCCTCACCGCCCCACACGGCAGCTGTGCCCCCGTCTCCACAGCCTGCGGGCGGCGCGGCCCCCTCGCTGGAAGAACCCACGCCCGCGCCCTCCCTCCCCTCGGGGTCCGGGGCGCTCAGGGGTCCGGGGCGCGGGGACTCACGTGCCCTCTGTCATGACAGGCGCCGCGCTCTCTGACGCCCACACCCCACTGCTGCGGCTCTCCTTCGCCTGCCCGCGCTCGGCCGACAGGAGGAGCGCGGTGGGCCGATGCCCCCGTAGCCAATCAGAAAGCCGGTAGGGTGGGCCCAGAGCGCTCCTGGCCACCGCAGGGGTGAAGCGCACGACACCCCAGCGCGGCGTGGGCGGGGCCTGGCCTGGGGGCGGAGCCGCCAGTCACGCCTGGAGTCCGCGCGCGCCTGCCCCGGAGGGACGCCTGAGGCGAAGGGCCAGAGCGTGGCGGGGACCCTGTGAGGAGGGTCCGCCGAGTCCGGAGGACAGGGGGGACCCGGGCGCGCCTGAAGCAGAGGTGGCGGCGAGTGCGGAGGCCCGGAGGAGGGAGGAGCTCGCGCTCTTGCGGCTGGAGGTGGGCGAGAGAGGGGAGATGGACGCCGCGAGGCCCGGCCCAGTGGCGGGTTCTCGGAGGAGAAGAGACGGTGAGGGACCGAGAGGACGCCGACGGGCCAGAGGGCACTGGGCTCCTCGCCGATGGGAGGGGCCTGGTGAGGCCGAGGCCCCAGGGCCTAACGAACCACGGACGCCGAGAGCCTCCGCGGCCAGGCGAGGGAGAGGGCCAAGCGAGGGCGTCGAGAGGCGCCCCAGAGAGCCTCCGCTGCGCAGGGGGTCTCTGGAATTCGGGGCACCCAGAATAAATTACAGGTAGAAGGCCTTGACAGTAGAGGGGAGAGGGAGAAAGATGGAGGCAGAATGGGTGACCAAGCTTGAAAGGGACAGCTGGGGTGGGTGGAGGTCGGGGGAGGGATGGCGGGGTGGGGGGCCAGAGCGCCCGCAGGCGTGTACGGCAGAAACCAGGGCCTGAGAGGAGAACGGAGAGCGTCCCACTGGAGAAACAGCGGACGTGGAGGGGAAGAAGGCCCAGAGGCGCTTCTCCGGAGCCCGCCACGGCGCCAGTGTCTCCTCATGTGCCCCTCGGAAGCCTGGTGAGTGTTGCTGCGCCTATCCTTTGAGTCCTACCCCATGCCCGTGAACAGCAAGCCAGAGGGGAAAGCGCGGGGCCTGCAAAGAAAAAAGGGATACACACGGCTTTCCGCTAGTGGAATATCGGGGGTTTAGATAGTCAGGAAAGGACACTTGCCTCTTCCTGTCCCAGTTGAGAAACGAGTGAAGACGACACATCACTAAGATGAATGGATATCAAAACACCAGCCTTGCCACAGATAAAAGCTAGTAGGAGGATGTGGCTTAGATCTGCAATCAAGAGAGCTGCTGATCAACCCCTAAATCAGACAAACATACCTGGACAACTGCAGCCTCTGGGCTACAGAGCTGCCCCACCAGGCACCAGTCAGCCAAGTGCGGATGAGATGCCCATCAACCTACAGACTCCACAAAGTTGGCCCAGAGGAGGCTGAGCACACTTGACCCTGTCTGTTCTCCCAAATTCACCACTTCATACTTCCCTGGGAGTAGAAAAGAGGCTGGAAGTTTCTTCCAGGAAAGTCCCTCCATGTGGAAACAAAGAGTGGGAATAAGGGTTCCACCCTACATGGACATCTCAAACTCTGAGTCTTACCATGCTAAAGGAGGGAGGAAGTTTCAACTGGAGCAGAGTTTGAGTTTTGATATTTTATTGGACTGGATTTTTTATGAGCAAAATAATAACCCTCTCCTTTTTATCTAAGAAGGAAGGAAAAACCTGTAAAATCCAACTGAGAATTCATACATAAGAGTTTCTAAAGGCACTCATGAGAAAAAAGAATGCTTCTCTCTTCTTGCACTCTACCAGTTCCAGCTTGTTCAATAAACTGGATACAAAAGACTCCCAGGTTTTTGGCCTGGACCACTGAGCATGTGATGGTGACATTTACGGAAATAGGGAAGGTTTGGGGGAAAATTTCAGCTTAGATTGGGGACATGTTAAGACATTCAAGTGGATGTGCTGAGTAGGCTGGTATTCAGGAGAAAAGACAAGGCTAGAGAGAGAAATTTGGTAGCCATCTGTTTTCAGGTAATGTTTGAAAACAAAGTTGGATGAGATCAACTAAGGAGTGAGTATTCCAACAAGAAGAGTTTCCAGGATGAGTCCTGGGGCACCAACTGTTTCTAGTCTAGAGGAGAAGGAGTGGCCAGAGAGAGGAGAAGAAGCCAGGGACTGTGGAATCAGGGAAGCCAGGTGAAGACGTGGTGATCTGTACAGAGGTTTTAGAAGTATTGCAAAGTGAGGTCTGAGAATTGATGATTAGATGTGGCAAGACAATTTATTGGTGACTGACAAGAGCAATCACAGGAAACATGAGAAAAGCCCCGTGGCAGAGTTGGTTTTTTTTTTTTAAAGGGAAATTTCCAGTTAAACATGTCAGATGGCACAGGCGTTGACTTCCATTTCCCACCCAAACCCTACTCACATAAATTAATAAATGAGATAAAAACTCACAGGGAAAGAATGGGAGAGAAGGCACCAGTAAGGTCAGACCAGAAAGGTCAACAAGATTATAGAGCCTGGGAATGTAAAGTAATAACTGACTCAGCAAGCCAGAGAAAGCTGAAGTCTTTTTGTGGGGGTGAAACCATAAAGAGACCATTCTTGCCAACAAATCCCAGGAAGGTGTAGAAACTGGAAGAACTGGTAGAAAGTTGAATAAGGAGCAGTGTGATGATAGATCCTTTGCCCCACTTTGGTGGAAGCCTGCAGCAGTTGAGTCAGTTGAATTCATGCACAAGGCAATAGCTGAGGGCCACTGAAAGCACTGGACTTGAGTGAAAGTTTATACTCCTGTAGGAGCCCAGTCCCACTTCTCCCAGTCAGCCATATAGCTTCAGGCAGTAGGAGGATTTCTCTGAAGCAAGAGGCCCCCAAAAAAGACCTGCACACATTGGCCAACTTGGACCCAGTGGAAAAGCAGAGAAGCTGGCAGGCTGTATTCTTGACACACAGCTTCCAACAAGCTTCTCAGAGCCCCACTGTCAACATAAGCCAAGCATTTAAGGAAAACCTCTACCACAAAAGACAGCAAAACACACAGAAACAGGAAACTTTGAGAAATGGAGATGATATAAGGTGTGGAAGAGGACTTTTGACAAAAACATGTGCTCACAGAAATAGGCTTTTGCACCCATGAAACAAGAACCATCTGACACACTCTTTCCCTCCCTGCCTTATTTTTCTCCCTGTTTATCACCAACTAGCATACCAAATATTTTGCATATTTATCTTGTTTACTGCCTGTCTAAAATATAAGCCAAGCAAAGGCTGAAATTTATTTGTTGCCGTATCCTCAGCACCTGGAATAATACCTGGCATATAGTAAATACTCCAAAATGATATACTGAATAAATGGACGAATGAACAGGAGTCTCTAAATAGAAAACATTACGAAAAAAGACTCAGAAATGAAAAATATGGCAGACTTTAAAAGTCACTAGAATAGGAAGATAGAGAAATTTTAGGATAGTTGGATAAAAAGGATGTAAAAAAAAATGAAGAGAAAAGAAAATTAGAGGATCAATCCAGGTGGTCAGGCATCTGAATATTAGGAGTTCCAAAGGGAAATAATGGAGAGGAAGAATATATTAAATAATTCCAAAAAATTCCCAGAATTGGATAATTTTCCAAGTTGAAAAAGCACAGCAGATTGTTTTCCAAAGATGCCTGCAACACCTCCCATCTCACGTGCTCCTCTACAATGTGGTCTTAAACCTTCGTCCCCATTGAGAAATGGGATCTATGTCCCATCCCTTGAATCTGTGAACTGCTTGTGACTGATACAATGCAGTGGAAGTGGTCCTGCACTAGTTCCAAAACTGGGCTTGTGTTTTGCTCACTGGGGCACTTGTGTTTGGAGCCCTGAGATGCCCTGTAAGAAGTCTGACACCTGAGGCCACCTTGCTGTGAGAAAGCCAACCCATGTGGAGAGGTCATATATAGCTACTCAGGTTGAAAGTCCCAGATGAGTCCCCTGCCAACAGGGCAACATTACCTGCCAGCCATGTGAGTGAGCTATCTTGGACATCCAGCCTACTCAAGCCCTCAGTTGACTGCAGCCCAGGGAATACTTGACTGCAACTGCATGAGAGATCCCAAGAGAAAGCTGCCCAGCTGAATCCTTCCCAGATTTAAGCTATTTGGGGTAGTCTGGGCTTGGGGGTAGTTTGTTACACAGCAATAACTACTGGAAGAAAGCATTACTAAGTGCTTTTTGTGTACTAAGCACAATAAATTGGGCAGGAGAGTAGGGGAGGGAGACCAACACATCAAGCATGTTGTTGAAAAATTTGAGAATACCAGGTATAGAAATGATCTTAAAAACCTCCAGCAACAAAAAATAAAAACACAGGGAATGGTTTCCAATCTAGAATTCTACTTCCATTCAAACAATGAATCAAATATAAGGGTAGAAATAAAGACGTTTTAGATGTGCAAGCTCAGAAGGATGCTAGAAGATGGGCTCCATCAAAGAGAAAGCAAACCAGGGAAGACGAATATAAATGACTCAGAATCCAGGAAATGTTCAAGCTGAGGCAGAAAAACAGGTTTCCCAGAGGGTCATCTCCAAAAGAAAGTGGAGCAGCACATGACAGTGTTAGGAGCTTTACACCTAGGACGGAGAGTTTTGGGTGAAGTAGTGATAGGAACACAGAAAACCATACAAATGAAAAAACTAGGCAATTGACTCCAGGAAAAACTGAAAATTGTACCTAAAGGAAATGTAATCATAAACCAATACAGGGCTCAAGAGCAAACAGTATTAATATAGTCATACTGAACTCTGCAGATTTCAGTCAACATTATATTAAACTGTTTTGGGAGACTAGTAGGAGAGGAAATGTAGATATGTATGTGTGGGTGATAGATGTTGCAGAGAGGGTAGTATGAGAGAGCTAACTCCTCTTCCATCGTAGGAAATCAACAATGCCTAACATCAAGATTAAGAAATAGCATTATTTAAGTCTTTATTGATAAACATGAAGTTAATCAGTGAAGAAATCCCTAAAAGAGTTGAATATTTGTTTGGGGGAAGCAGGGATTGGCTAGTAGATTTGGTGATGGTGGTGGGATGAAGTTCTTAGTGCTTTTGTTTTCACAGAAATAAGAAGCAAGGTCATTATCTAAGAATGTTGGAGTTTTGAAGAGGATGAGAAGTTATGAAATAGTCTGTTGGAGAGTCTAGGGGATATAGGATTATACTAGGGAGACGCCAAGTGCTAATTTAAGATTGGTGGTCATACTCAGTGTCAAGTCTATTAATACCTCTTTCTGTATATGGCTCAAATTTGTCCCTTCTTTCCACACCAACTGCTAGCAAACTCAGGATTATACCCTTCCTCTTTCACCTGGACGGCTACAGCACCTCCCTCTCAAGATTCCTGCCTTGTCTTGCTGACCTTCCCCACATGCCATTTTAATAACAGAAAATGTGACCCACTCACTTCTCTGCCTAACATCCAACCGCTGATTCTCATAGCACTCAGAATAAGGCAGCAAGGGTCTCTGTGGTCTGGTCTATGCCCTCACTTGGCAACACTACCAAACTGGCATCTCCAGGTTTTCATCACATCCTTTTGAGTACACTTCCCCAACTACACCCCTGCACTCCTATCCAGAATTCTGCTCTCTCCTCTCAATCCCCTTGTCTCCCTTTGCTTCCAATCCAGGCACATACCCTGTGCACATTCTCAGAGCTTTGTACCTATATAACTGGCTGAGTACATCTGTTGGCTCACTTGGATATGAGCTGGGTAGGCCTGGTGGGCAGGGTTTCTGCACCTTATTCATCCCCTGCATCACTGCTATCTGGCACATCAGGGACTGCAACTTTGCTGAGACAATGAATGACAACTTGTTACACACAGAAGTGTGAGCTACAAATTCCCTCAGAGCATACGATGGTGGGTAACAGTCTGAGGAGATCGTGAAAACAGGTAAGAATGTCGAGGATGTTACACAAGAGGAAACAGCCTTTCATTCTGGAAACTGGGAAAGACCTCATTAGACATTCAAATAGTTTATTTGCATGATTAATAATCACATTTCCAACAGTGCATCAAGCATCTGAGAATAACATTATTTTGAGTAAAAGCAGAAAATCTTCTGGAGAGACTCTCCCTCACTCAGGTCCGGCAGCTCAAATGTCCACCATGTCCAGCAGTGCAGAGAGATGGAGCTCAGAGGCAACCTCCTCTTCCCTTGAACTCCGGATCAGCCTTTCCAGGTGCTTCAGGCGTTCGGTCAGAGATGTGCCTGTTGCCTCTGACAGCTGCAGTTGCTCCCCTGTCCTTTCATACTATTTGAATAAAAAAGAAACTAAAAACATTTTTGGGATATCCATAAACCAAGATCTATTCTCTGTAAAAGCACTAGATCTGGCTCATGTTAGAAACCTTGTCTGGGGCCTGGGGGGCTCAACAAACCCTCCTCCTGGCATCTATCATACATCCTCCCAGCATCTTCCAGTACATACACATACAGCTGGTATCATCTGCACATGGAATGTTTCTCTTCTGATTCTATCATGAACAACTTCCAATGGCAGTCATTTTTACAAAATATCATTGTCAAGGGCTAAGAACTATTCCATCATATGTATTGTAATTGCTTAACCAGACTCCCACTTTAGATATTTGGTTTATTTCCATTCTTATGCAGTCTAAGTAAAGCTACAGTGAACAAAAATACAGTATTTTTTGTAATGTATAGTAATTTCTTTAGGGTGGAATTGTTAAAGTCAAAGGTACAAATATCTTTAAGGTATTTGCCAAAGTGATAAATGCCAAACTTCATTTGCTTTTCTCCCCTATTGAAGGGCTTCCTAAGGCCAGTTCAGGAGCATACTTTTTACCAGTCTTGCATTATATATCAATGATTAAAACTCTGTTTTTGCTTCTTTACCACTGAAGGAAGGAGGGTGAGGTAGAAAGACCTTGAGCTTTGGAGCCAGTCTTGTCTGGCTATGAAAAGCACTTCTGCCACTGACCAGGTGAATACTCTTAAGTGAGGCCCTTGACTTCTGTGAGCTTACCCTCCTCATTCATTAATTTTCCTTAGGGAAAGTTAATACCAGAAAGAGAGATCTGGGTGTTGCAAAGCCTTCGACAGCATGTGCTCTATAAAGAGAAGCCTTTGTTATTCTCCTCAGTGCTCTTCCTGCATGTAAGCCCATGGTTATAGGTCGTTTTCAGTTCTTAAGCATGTTTGAATGCCATTCTTCAATTCACAAGCAGAAAACTCAGAATTAGTTGGGCCACTATGACAGTGACAGATGAAGTCTGAGAAAAGATCTAATTTAAGCTAATAACTTACTGGTCATCATAACATCCTATGATGAATCAAGATGTTACTTTTTCCCCACTGTTCTCTCAGCCTTTAATTTCAATAAAATGCCAAATGTACTCTCTTCTCACCTGAGGGCTAGGAGTTGTAGATGTTTTCACCACAGGTTCGATAGTTTGAGGCAGAGACACCAGAGTTTGAGGAAGGTAGAGGGGTAAGGAAGTTGAATCTGTAAATCCTCCTGAGTCTTCAGACAACCACTGCTGAAGCTGATCTTCAAACCTGAAATATTTGAGCATTAGGAAGCAAAAATTTAACTATCACTTACTCCTCTCCTATATACACTTTAAAATTTTTAAAGCTTTGCTTTTTACTAAGATAGAACTATTATGACATCAACTGAGGAGCAGAAATTTTACTTTTTTAAAAAATGTAATATCTTCCCTTTAATTTATAAACCCAATTTAACATTTAATGATAAAGGTGGCATTTATCCAAAGACAACTGCTTTTACATGTTACTTAACATTACTTATAATTCTCTCATTTGGTTTATTTTCCGTTTGGCTTATTTTGGTTTTATATATCTATAATTAATTCTTATCTCTTGATGTATTATCCAAATGTATGATTGCTGCTTATGGTTTAAAATTAATTCAAAATAATATCCTACTGCCACCTAACAACCCACAGCTGTCCATCCATACACTTGTCTTTTCAAGAAAAACAATCTGATCCAAACTGCTTAAATGATAGACCTAGGAAAATCTACTTTTAGAAATCATGACACATTCATTCACTCTTCCAATACATATTTATCAAGCCTCCACGAAATGCTAGGCACCATTCTAGGTCCCAGGGATACAGCACTAAAATAAAACAGACAAGGCCCAGCTGTAAGCAGCTTATACTTTAGTGAAGGGAGATGGACAAAGAACACATGACAAGAGGAGAAAGACAAAGCAGAGACGTAGACAGGGAGGGGTGGGCGCCAGGCAAGGAGGGCCTCGTGAGAAGTAGATATCTGGGCAGCAAACACAAAGGCCTGGCTGACCATGGCCTGGCATGTTGGAGGGAGGAGCAGAGGTCAGTAAAGGACATGGAAGGCAGATCACACGGGGGCCTTGCCCACCTCCTAAGGAATTTGCCTTTGATTTGGGGTGAAAGAGGAAGCCCCTAGAAGGTTGTGAGCAAAGGAGTAACATGACCTCTGCCTCACACCTGAAAGGCTCACACTTGGTCTGCCAAGACTAGACTACAGACTACTGCAAAAGTGGTATGATTCTGAATATAGTTTGTATAGAGCCAATAGGACCAGATGTGGAAGGATGATTCCAAGGCATTTGGCCTGGGCCACTAGAAGGATGGAGCCACCATCAACTGAGGAAGACCACCATAGGAGGGGCTGGTTGGGGGGAAATTGGAAATTAGATTTGGGGTATGTTAGCTTTGAGATGGCTATCAGGCATCCAATAGATAGCTACTGAAGATTTCAAGGAAGCAGTAGGATATTCAAATCTGGAGCTCAGAGGACTCAGGGTTTGAGATATAAATTTGATGTTATTTTAAAATCCATGAAACCAGATGAAGTCACTGGGGAGTGGGTGCAGATGACACAGAGGAAAGGTCCAGAGAGTGAGCTAGGGAGGAGGCAGTTGGGGGATGAGGAAGAACCAGCAGCGGGGCCTTAGGGGGAGTGGCTAGCAGGGCAGGAGAAGGACTAAGGGCATCTCCTGGGAGCCAGGAAGGAGGGAGCAAAGGTATGGAACACTCCTGGGGCCTGGGGTTCATGATCAGTTCAGCTGTGTGCAGGCTGTACTGACCCTGACCAGAGCGGACGTCAGGGGCAGGAGGGACTGAGGAGAGACAGGGAAAGAGAACTACAGAAGTGAGAATCACACTGCTTTTGAGGAGTTTACTGTTAAGGGAGCAGAAGCATGGGGGCAGTAACTAAGAGGGAAATGGAGCCAAGTTAGGGAGAAATGCCAGCTTGCTTTCATGTTTGTATGCTGGTGAGAGGGTGATGGTGCAAGAGAGTGATTGTCACTGGACAAATGTCCTTGTGTGGGTGGAAGATGAGACCGCAGCCAAGGGGAGGGGCTAACCTTGGCTACAAGCTGGACGGTTCATCCCCAGCAACAAGAGGGAATTGGCTGGACACAGGGAGGTTGCTGGGGTACGGGGATGGGGGGTGGGGGGCCAGGAATGTGAGGACGACCAGTGTTAACTCCCTTCTTCTTGGTCCTTTCTCAGTAAAACCATAAACAAGGGTGATGGGAGACATAGAGGAGGGTCTACTCCGGCTCCCTGCCTGCCTGCAGTGTGAGAAGATGCACCAACGCCCTTAGGCTCGCCAAGAGCAGAGAGCGGGGAGGGCCCAGCCACATGTTCAGGATGACGATCCAGTCAGACCTGGTTAGCCAGCCACACCTAATTCTCACGAGAAAACTTAAGACTGACTTTCAATAATAAACAATAAATGAAATTGATTTCAGATAATAAAACAATTTAAGGCATGCTATCTAAGGCACTGCCTCTGGCTGGTGCATGCTTGACTTGCCTTCTTTTTAAAACAAAGTCACGTTACTATGATCCTTGCTAATCCAGCATGAAGTAGCCTACAGGAGACAATGAACCACAGGGAAAGGGCTTCACCTCTTGCTCTCCTCTTTCTCCAGCAGCAGACTACTGGACAGACACTGGGCCAGGAGCTCGTGGGCAGAGGCACCGCGCATCAGATCCTCCGCGTTGGGAATCCACCCCTCTCGGCCACACTCCACACTCCTCTTCCCTTTGCGGTGCATGTGAAGTAACGGAGTGGGAAACTTGTTTGCAGAAGGATGAAAAGACTTTATCCCCAAACTGTAAGTACATGTTTTGAAATGCTTATGGTCAGGAAGAGAGGGAGAAAGGGTTCCTTGGGATCGGGTAGAGTGTGGGTGGAGACACAGAGCCTCAGACCTGCCCTGCCTGCTCCCAGCTTCCCTCAGGAGGGAAGCCGAGGGAGGGCAGCCTCTGCCTTATGGGAGCATCCATTCTCCTGGGCAGCTGGGCTCTCAGAGCTTCTCTATTCTGAGTTTTGCTTCCCATCTCAGGGTTATCAACAGGTTCCCTATTTTCTTCCTGATATAGGGAAGGTTATTTTTACGGTTTGCTTTAAAATCCACCTGGACCTAATGATTACAACAGTGAGAGACAGGGGCTCTAATGCTTTTCCTAAACAGATGCCAATGTCTATCATTTCCCCACTAACTTTACTAATTTGGCATGGTACTTTCGTCACATGTGGTTCTGTTTCTGCACTTTCTTTTCTGATCCATTCTTCTAGTGTAAGTTTACTATATGTTTTGACATCAGGGAGAGAAGATCTTCCTTGTTATTCAAAGTTTTTTCAGCAATTGCTACACATTTTCTCAACCTGATGAATTTTAGAATTAACTTATCAAGACTAGGAGGAAGAATCCTTTTGGGTTTCTGATTAAAAATGCCCTGACTGTGTACTTTGAGAACTGACATCTTTACAGCATTGTGTCCTGTCAACAAAGCCAGCATACCCTTCATTTATCCAACTTTTCTTTGTACCTTCAGGGCCAAGAGTCCCTTTCACCGGGGTTCAGCACCTCTCCTGGTCAGTTTATATCCCTATGTTATGGTTTGCTGGTGTTGTGATGAGAATTTTTGTACATTGTACATCGATCTGTCTGATCACCTTGCTGAACCCTGTAACGTTCTGGGGGATGACTGTTTATTATCTTGAACTGACAGTTTTACTGTCTGGAAATGACAGTTTCCCCTTCCTTTCAATATTTATGCCATCATACCTGTGTCTTTGCATGGGCAGGATTTCCAGGACAACAGTGAGCAGCAGTGACATTAGAGGCAGCTCAGGCCAGTTCTGACTTTACTGTTTCTAATGTTTTACCAAAAAGCATGATTTTTTTGGTAGTTTTATGGTAGACAGCTTTATCAAGCTAAGGAATTTTTCTACCCAAGTCTGCTAAGAAATTTTATCAAGAATGGGTATAAATTTGGAGGGAGGGGCAGGAATAGGTATAAATTTTAAGGAAAGCATTAAAACATACTGAAACGATTATTTTTATGCCAGCAAATTACATGAGTAGATTTCTGTTGTTGATACTATTTATCATAGGATAAAGTCTACTTGTCATTTTTTTATGTACTGCAAGATTGCATGTGCTAACATTTTATTTAGTATTTCTTTTCTGTGTGTGTGAGCAAGATTGCCCCTGAGCTAACATCTGTGCCAATCTTCCTCTACTTTGTATGCAGGATGCCGCCAGTGTTTGTTGATGAGCAGTGTGTAGGTCTATGCCCAGAATCTGAACTTGTAAACTTGGGCCACCAGAGCAGAGCATGCGAACCTAACCACTGTGGCACCAGCTGGCCCCATTATTTAGTATTTCTGAACCAGGCTTGCAAGTGAGATGAGAGATCTCCGCTTTCTTTTGTCTGCACTCTCCTGGTTATGTTATGATTTCAGGGTCAGGTTCATTGGATAAATGAAGTAAGATTTGCTTTCGTCTGCTCTACAACAGTTTCCACTACATGGGAATGATCTGTTCCTTGAGTATTTGTCAGGACCTGCCCACAATGGGCTGGATTCTATGTATAGGATATTAATTTCTGTCTGTGTACTTTGGAAGAGAATATGGTTCACTCTCTTGGCTGTAGTGATGACAAAAATGCACAATGATCACAGATCTCACCGCCCCTGACTCAGCTGTAGCTCCTTCTGCGTCTGCATTCTGGCTTGTTCCCACAACAAAGGAACATCATATTTTTTCAAATGGTTTTTAAAATAATATACACATATCTGACCATCTTCACTCAGCGCCTCTGAGAAAACAATACAAAAACAAATAGGAACAGAATCAGAAGAGCAATAGGTGACCACTTGACATTTGCTTAAATTCAGTGATTTAAGGACAAGCCCTTCTGATTTATTAAAGTCACATAATTATGTTACTCCCATGCTTGAGCCAAATAAGCTCCAAGTGTCTATGGGTCATTCAAGGTCCAGACAGGCTCATGTGTCTGTGGCACAGACTGTGGCATAGCCACTACGATTCCTCAGAGCTACAGAAGTCTCTCTTAGAGCCAGCCTGAGGGGCCCATTTAAGGGAGGAGGTAAGTCCAGGCTTTCCTGGAAACTTCTTAGCTCTTCCCAATGTTTACAGGTCACCTGGAAGTCACTGGCTTGAAGAGGGAATCCTAAGGAAAGGAAGGAGAGGGACCCGCAGGAAAAGAAACAAACATCAAGTAAATATCCTTAAGAAAGTCTCATGGGGAGCCGGCCCCACAGCACCAAGCGCTAACTACCTGACGTGACGGGAAGCCTCGGGGGTGTCCAGTCCCTCAGCTTGTGGTTGATGCACAAGGCAATGACATCATCCCACGGGATCTCTGAAACCGAGGGCCCTGCACCCCGGCCCGGGGATGGGCTCTTGCTCTTCCACCTGCAGTATGTTCTGCGAAGCAGATTCTCCACTTGGGACTGGAGGACGGGCTGTGTCTGGCGAGAGCTGGGGATCTGGGAGGCATACTGGATGACCAGAGAGCACATGGGGAGCCAGGGAGCTGGAGAGAAAGCACTTCGTGAGTTACAAGATTTGGCCAAAGTACAGGTAGAAATCTATGTGAAATGTTCTTAGGACAAGGCAACTGTGTAGTTGAGAAGTCTGCTTTTGAATCTGAATACAATAGAACCACAGCTGCTGAAGAAAGAGCATCTCCCTCTCCATGTCCCAGTAAGGGATGCAGACAGGCACCCTGGACAAAGTTCACAATGAAGGGTCCCCCCAGAGGCTCTGATTGTACAGGGCTGTGGTTGTGCCCAGGAATCTGTACTGTAATGAGCACCAGGTGAGTCTGGTACAGGAGGTCTTGGCTTCTCTTGGGGAACCCTAACCTAGCGCACGGTACAGAGGATTTGCACTGTGTGCTTTGCTTCCCTTCAAGCTCCTTCAGTAACAAGTGTCTGCTAGACCTACTGAAGACCACAACCTGAAATTCAGAAGGGCGCCTGAGGCCTCTGATCCACGCAGCCCTGGCAAGGCCATGCGCTAAACCACATAAACAGCGAACAGCACTGTTCCCTCCTAACAGTGTCAGCAAGAGAAGGGGCCATCTCCACACCCAGTGTACAAGACCCATAGAGCCTGCGTTAAAACAGCCCAAAGGCCTCATCTGGCACAGCCTGGCCCACAGAACAGAGGCTTCTTTGACACAGAAGGAACGCTGGCCTTACATCAGCAGAGTGCTATGGCCCCGGCAGAGCCAGAAATTGGTGACAGGACTGCACAATCCCCATGCTCTTTGCCCTCACACCCCAGAGGTGCAGGCAGGACAGGACCTGCTGTCTCAGGCCTTGGCGTCAGTGCTCCTCCCAACACTGCTTGACACCTTCCCCCAGGGCTGAGCAGACACCCACAGACTGCTCTGTTGGTGGTGATGGGTCAACAGCCCCCACTCCACAAAACCCTGATTGTTCTGACCCCTAAACCCAAAGGTGACAGGGGCAGTGTGGGGAGGGGGCGGCGCACAGTGGAGGAGATGGTATGAACCTCACACTAGTGCCCAATCCTGCCAGACTGTCACTACAGTAAGAGAACAGTCAGGGCTCAGCCACCCTACCCTCCTCCCCAGCCACACCATCAGTTTGAGCACGCACCCCCTGGGGGCGGAAGGTCCATCTGCGGGAGCTGGAATCCCAGCACTGCCTGCTTCAGCCAGGCCAGGTGCTCCGGGGAGTTCCAGTGCAGGTGAGGAAGCAGCTGGCTGCCTCCCGTCTCAGCAAACTCGGTGACGGGCCAGGACAGGTCACAAAGCTGCTCGGAGGACACTGCGGATGCGAGGAAGTGCAGCACGCTGTTGAAGAGCTCAATGATGGCACCAGGCTCCTGTGAGGCCAGGCCGCCTAGCCGCCTCTCTCTTCTGTCACGGAAAAACCGGCCACTAAACTCACGGCCAACCCCATCTTCCACATATTGAATGAGGGTCTGGCAGCAAAGGTCAAGGGCACAGGGGCAGCGGGAGACCAGCCACTGCACAGCCTGTGAAACCTGAGAAACAAAGATAGTTCAGAGATACCCGGTTAAACAATTCATGCTGTCAAGGGAGCTTTCTGAAGATTCCCCCCACAGCTGCCACAGCAGGTGCCCCGAGCACCAGCTTCTCAACCACACTAGGAGGGGAGGAGAAGCTTCCGCTGCAGTTGTTTGGCCTCCTAAAGACCTGGAGAACCACACAGCGGGGCCCCCAGACAGGGGCTCCAAGTCCCACCCTGTCCTTGGAGAGTGGGGCCTGCAGGATCAGCCCCTTGAAGGGCTCAGGCCTAAGGGCAACGAGCCCTGCACGTCCTTTTCTCCGCACACAGAAATGGAGACCCGTCTTCCCCTCCTTAGAAAGACTGACAGCTTCACCGCAAGCCAGGAAGCTTTCACGTCCTGTGCTCAGCTTTCTTCCTGCAGTTACTTTCAACTCCCAGCACTTTTTTCCCTAAATGTCATTGTCAGCACAGACTTGTTTTCTTGCAGGGAAAGAGTCGCCCCAAGCTAACATGTGTTGCCAATCTTCCTCTTTTTTTTCTTCTTCCCCAAAGCCCAAGTACATGGTTGTATATCTTAGTTCTAAGTCCTTCTATTTCTTCTATGTGAGCCGCTGCGACAGCATGGCAACTGACAGATGGGTGGTGTGGTTCTGTGAAGGGGAAGTGAAGCCAAGCGACCAAAGCAGTGAGCATAGAACTTTAACCACTAGGCATGAGGGCTGGCTCAGACTTCCTTTTTTTTAAGGAAACCTCTGATAACATTATTTCTTCATATAGTCCAAGAAGAACTACCCTACAAAAGTAATTTATGTATCTGAACCTCTGATATAAGACAAGAATGGTCATACTTTAAAGCCATAACAACAAAAACACGAAAAATTAATATGAACAATTTAATTTGTTGCAGATGGCAGGACTATGGGCAAATTTTATCTTTTATTTTGATTTCTGCTTATAGTTTTAGAAAGTTACCTGTCAAAACATAAAATTAAAAATGCAAGCAGTAGTATACACTAAATTCAAGAGAAAGAGAAAGAGGCAAAACACAAGTATCTAGTTGGCCTTTAAAAATGATGACAGCTCACCTTCCTTGTGCCTTGTAATTCATTAAGGGAATCAGGGATCTCAAGAACGGTGTAATCTGAAATCAGCTTAGCCGAAACCAAATCCTGGAGCATCAGACCTTTGAGGGAAACAGATGGAGGTCAGCTGTCTCATGCTCTCACTTTGCATGGGAGCTGACACCTCACTGCGCTGACCCCACTCAGCCCTGCTCTCAGCCACCACAACAGCACTGTCCCACGACTCCCAACACCATCTGCCAGCACTTCCTCAGACCCAGGGCTCAACCCATTTATTAAACAAGCCAGTTCATAAACAAGACTGTGTTCACAAACCATCTTCCACTTCCTTCTCCACAGTGTCCCCTCCCAGGCTGGGCACAAGAACCACCAGCGGAAGTGCAGGCTGGAAGGGCTTGGCCTGCAGGAGCTGCTTCAGCTGCAGCAACGCCGACAACCAGTACACATCCTCCTCTGCCACATCCTCGCTCTTCACTTTGGGGGGAAGCAGCAGCATGAGCCCACTGGCCCCCAGGAGCTCCTTCTGCGTCTCCACGGCATCCAGGACACAGTCACTGAGCGCACCATGTGCCACCTGGAACAGCACCCCAATCATCAGGAGGGACACACCAGGGGACAAATGAGCAGTGAATGTTGGCCCCAGAGTAAGCACAGACAAATGTTCACGGAACTGGCCTCCCTCCATGAGGCCATGAATTAGTGTGAGAAACAGCCAGGTCAACAGATAATTCAGCTTCCAGTGTTTGAGCATGTTACTTTAATCTTAACACAGTTATCCTTAAGCAGATATAAAAACAGGTAAGCCCATAATGACAAAAAAGGTGAAAGGCAAGCCAGCAGCAGACGAGGAATTCCAACCCACTTCCAGAAAGCAGCACAGAGATGGGAACAACCACTGGGTTAAGGAAGCAGAGGAAGCCACATGTGAAGGGCTGCAGACACGGTGTGGAAGGAACCAGGCAGCTGAGCCTGCAAAGGCCCTGAGCACCCAGGCCTTACAGCACCAAGAACCAGAGGGGAGGCTCAGAGCCTTGAGGGACGAGTCACACACAGAACAGGGGCCCAACAGGTCATCCACCCACCCTGCAGGCAGCATCTAAGTACAGCTTGTCCTCCTATCCTCCTGGGCAGGTGTTCTCTCCTGAGGATCCAGGCACGGGGCACATCAGGCAGGGGCAGGGATCTTACCTGAGAGAACCAGCCACTGCCAAGGAGGAGACGAGGTGGGTCCTTTCTAGAGAAGCCCAGGGAATAGACATCCAGATCCTGACACTTGGGCGTCCCCGCAAAAAAGGCTGGCTTGCCATTCAGTTACCCTCTAACTTACCCCAAGCAGAGCTTGTGGCTAGCCTCTGGAGGCCTCACTCAGATATGGAGGTTGCCTCAGATAAGGAGCCTCAGGACAGCCTCCAACAAGAGAGAGAGACAAGGACAACAGAGAAAAAGGAACCAAAAGAGACAGACAATGCACAGAACACACGGAAACTCAGAAAGACACAAAATCCTAACCCCCTCAGAGAGATTAGATCATGCACCCAAAGCAGTCCTAAGATGATATGAGACAGTCGAATAAGGCTAAGAAGAACAAAATGAATAATATACATGGAACAAAAAATTCAATACAACACCTGAAATATAAAGTCAAGAAAATCTCCTAGAACACAATATAAAAAATAAGATAGAAAATAGGCTAGAAAGGATGAGAGGCTCAGAGGATCAACTTCAGAGATCCAGCATCTGTCTGACAGGTTCAAGAGAGAACAAGAAAAAAGGGAGGGAGAACAGGTGTCACCAAGACACAAAAAGGTCCCAGAAGTGAAAATAGGGTCTCCACCCTGCAAGGACCTGCCAGGCCCAGCACAGTGAGTGAAGGGAGTCGGCATCAGGCATACCAAAGTGGGTGTTCAGAAGCTCAGGGACAGAGAGAGCAGGCTTCCAAAGAGAAACACCACCAGGCCACAGAGAAAGGAGCAGGAGTAGCCTCAGACATCTCAACAGCAACACTGGCTGCGAGGTGACACTGCAGCAAAACTGGAAGGAAAACAACTTTCAGCCCATCATCCTACAACCAGCCACACTGTGAAGCACCTGTGAGTGTAAATACGTTTTCAGACAGACTAGAACTCAGCAAATTCTCCTCCCATGCATCCTTACTTTGAAGAAACTGGAAGACGTTCTCCATTAAAGAAGAGACTAAACCAAGAAAAAATACTGCTGCTGCTGTGAATGGCAACACTGTGTGAGCACTTGATGTGTGTCAGGCACAGGTGCAAGGACTCTGTTTATGTAACTCACTTCATTCTAAGGGCACCTGTGTGTAGCACCACCATGGAGCAGCTCTGTGGCCTGGGACAATTTATTTTAACTTCTCTGAGCCTCAGTTTCCTCATCAGTAAAAGAGGGATATTAAGAGTACCCATCCACAGGCAGCACAGAGACACAAGGACCTTGCCCAAGGTCAGAGTGAGCAAGTGGAGGAGCAGGACCATGACTAGTACAGAGGCCCCAGTGGCACCCACACTCTGGGACATGCTATCAGCCCAGAGAGGCACAGAGGATGGCACTTTCTCAGAGAGAGGAATAAGGTGAAGTCAGAGGGCATTTGGAAAACTCTATTAAGATGTGTACAGCCCATCTGCTGGCACACTTGGATAAAATTAACAAGAGATACAGAGAAAACCATGTAAGTGAGAAAATAAGGGAACTATTACTTGCAGAAAAAATTAACAAATGTATTCGTACAACACTTGCTGGTTCTGGGGCCAAGAGCGGTCACACAGACATCAGAACATGATCCCCCCTCACTCAGATAACATGAAGTGGCAATGCAGCCATCCTGGGAAGGTGCAGAAGGCTGAGTGGGACCATGGTGTAAGAGTGCTCCTCACCCAGCGTGGCATACAGCTGCCACCTCCTAGTGCTCACGACCTTGCACAATCCCCTGCCCTGAGTTGGGCTGGGCCTGGCAACTCACTTCTAACAGACAGAAGCAGACAAAAGTGATGAGATGTCACTTCTAAGATTAGGTTACAAAGAGACTGCCATCTTACTCAGTTGATCAAAGCTGGCTGCCATGATGCAAGCTGCCTTATGGAGAGCCCCCCATGGCAGGGAACGAAGGCCTCTGGCCACAGCCTGCAAGGAAGTGAACCCTGAAACAACCACGAGAGCGAGCATGGAAGTTCCCTCAGTCGAGCTCTCAGATGAGACCAGAATTTGGCCTACATCTTGATTTTCACCTGAGAACCCCTGAGCCAGAGGACCCAGCTAAGCTGACCCAAGAAATCGTGAGGTAGTGAATGTTTGTTATTTTAAGCTGCTAAATTTGGGGGTAATTTGTTATGTAGCAATAAATAAATACACCTATTTTAATGGGAAGTCAGTGGAGAACATCTAAAGTGGATAAATTGAGAAATAAGAGTGTTGCAATGTTATTTGGAAACATGACAGAAATCAAGCCCTGGGGCAAGAGGCTAGAAGTGGGGGCAGGAGCTGCTGTTTCTCATCATAAATGATGTGGTCCTGGCTTTTTAACTATATCCAAGAAATACTTTGATCAAAAATTTTAAGAATAAAGACAAGAGGAAAAACAAACATTCTCTAATGGGTGAAGTTTAACTGTGTAATTATAGGAAAAAAGGGAAGAACACGGACCAAGACATCCTTAACTGTTGCCTCTGAATGGTGAAAGCATGGATGGGCTCATCATCTTTATATTTCCTTATATTTTTAAAGTTTTATACATGTATTACTTTTACATTTAGAAAATCCAAGAAATAGTATTAACATGGAAAAACAGAAAATCTATAACCAAACTACAATTTTAAGAAGTTCCAAGGACAGAGGGAACAGGGACTGCAGCATCAAATACAGATGACCAGGACGAGCCATGAAGGTGACTCTGTTAGGAAGAGGAGAGGCCTGGGTAGTGTAAGCCTTCAAGTCAGGACACAGGGGAGAGCTGACTGTCACTGGGCCCTCCTCCAAGCACACAGCCCAGATACCCTTATGAGACGCTGGTGCAGTGGGTCGTGATGACCACATCATGGAAGATACTACGCTGAGGCTCAGAGAGCTGGCCAGAGCAGCAGCTATCAACACCAGGTCTACTCAGCACTGAAGCCCACATTTCCTGCCCTGCACTGCTATTTCCAAGCAAATAAAATACACATCTAATTTTATTTCTGAACATATACACTGAAACCTAAAATTCACTTATGCAAGTTTGAATCTAATGAGGAAACAGGTTCTCATTAAACAAAAATCTCTCAGGGAACCAATTAAGCTCAATATTGTACAAACACCTATAAAGAACAAAAATTAAAACTTGTAATAGAAAACTGAGGACAACATGAATATAAAACAAAAACAACTAATCTGAAATGTCCAATACTGAACCCATATGGAAACTGGGATCAAGTTTAGTGAAAACTGCATAGGATTAAAATCATCAGTCTTTTGGTAAGACCTGATGTACCAGGAAGCCATTTTAACAAAGACGTCAGCAGTTGGCAAACCATGTGTGCAGTAACAGTCGCTGCATTTTTGTGGGATGCTGTGTCTCCTTTCCCTCTTTCCCATAGCAGAGGCCCACGAAGGAGTTCAGGGCTTCTGAATTATGTGCAGAACAGCATAAGTGCATCTCTGTCTTTCCAGGATGGTTCTGAGTTTTCACCAAGTTCTCAAAGAGGTCTGTGACCCAAGACAGTTAAGCATCACTGCACTCCCGAGAACTGAGCCTGGCATCTCACTCCAAACAGGAGTCCATGGGACATCACCAAGACACAGGAGAAACAGACATGACACTCACTTCTGAGCCTTCCACATCCTTTCAAAACCACTTCAGGGCATTTATATGATTTCAATGATGTCTGGGAGTGAGTGAAAACAAGAAAATCCCAAAAGTAAATATACAAAGTGACTGTCACTCACCTTTATACACACATTGACAGAAACTGTCTGACTCCCTCTGCTGTGGAGTGCATTAAACAGTGCGAGTGTCTGAATCCCACCAGCATCACTGCATGTGTCATCCACTGAGCCATCATCACTCATGAACTTGACTTTTAACCAATTTTCTAGGATTCTGTGAATAAAAGAAAATAACACTTGAAGAAAAATCTAATTCTAAATTTGAACTATAAAGATTTTCAGGAAGATAATTAGAAATATCACACAGATATAGGTCCACAGACACCAAATCTTACTGTGAAGTTGATCTACACAAAACAAGCTGTGATTTTAAAATGGAGCTAGGAATTCTACTGGCTTACTCTTACTGGGAAAGAGGAGAGGGCACTCATGGAACTGGGTCATTCTAATGTGATTAAAATTATGAAGCACTAAGAAAAGATTCTGAGCAATAGAAAAGGCCCTCAGAGTTTGAAATATACATGTTTTACCAAATCAAATTTCTCATTCCTGAGACCTTAAGAATTTCTGTGACATATGTTTCTTTATGAATTTAGCAAATCAGAAGACAGCTGTTTTAAGAAGTGAATCATTTAAATACTTTTAAAACACCACAACTCTCTTCTTTGCTCAGCTGTCTCCTGAGATAAGCTTGATGGCTTTCTTTTTCCTCAGCATGTGTGTGTCCCAATAGCAGTTACTACTGGTAACTAAAAGTAACATATTCAGACAACTGAACACCCTCATACATTGTTGAGAGGAATGCAAAATGGTGCAGCCACTGTGGAAAACAGTTTGGCAACTTTTCAAAGACTTAAACATAGGGTTACCATACAACCTAACAGCAGTTCCACTCCTAGGTATATAACCAAGAGAACTGCAAACGTATGTCCATGCAAACACTTACATATGAATGTTCACAGAAGCATTATTCATAATAGGCAAAAAGTGGAAACAACCCAAATGTCCATCAACTGATGAACAGATAAATAAAATGTGGTATACGCATACAATGCAATAATATTTAGCCACAAAAAAAGAATGAAGGACTAATATACGCTAAAACATGAACCTAGAAAACCTTACCTAAACGAAAGCTGCCAGTCATAAAAGACTAAATACTTTATGATTCCATTTATATAGGATGTCCAGAATAGGCAAATGGATAAAGACAGAGAACAGATTAGTGGTTGCCAGGAGTGAGGGCAGGGAGGAGTGCAGAGTGGATTACTAATAGATATGGGGTTTCTTTTCAGAAGAAAAACGTATTAGGGAATTAGATAGTGGTGGTGATTGTACAAATCTGAATATATAAAAAACCAGGGATATGTACACTTTAAATGGGTGAAATTGATGATACATGAATTACATCTCAAAATAGCAGTTAAAAAAGAAAAGTAACATGTTCTGTAGTTGCTTTCAAAGTATGGTTTCTAGAAGCGATTTGGTTACAGGAAATAATGCCCTGTCAATTTTTCGGATTTCTTTTTAAAAATGTTAAAAGTTTTTTTTCTAAGGAAAAAAACAGAACTACAGCAAACTATAAACTGTCTTCCCCAAGAGTCAACAATGAAGAGGGCCCTAATCAATCTACCTTAGCACAGCTTTAAATAATAATCAACTCTGAAATACTTTTGGGCAAAGACTATTGCCAAGTTTACAGAATAAAAATTTAAATAATTTAAAGCGTCAACTTCAAATCACAAACAAAACAGACGTCAAGTCTCAGGATCGAAACACAAAAATAGACGTTATGGTTCCCACCACCTCTCACCGTGTGCAAGAGGAACACACTGAGCTGACATTCCCCACACTCTGGGAGAAGTCGCTCCACCTCCCCAGGCTGCTTCCTCTGGATCAGACCCCATGGAGGGAAACCCTCCCTGACCTGCCAGGACTCCCTGGGAACTGCTCTTCTCCGTCAGGCAACACCAGCACCAGCTTCCAGAACACACGCTCCTGTCTCCCAGGGAGGTGCTCAGCCACAAGGGATGGCAGGTCCAGGGGCGCCCAGGCTGCATCACTGGAAGGGACAGGGCACTGAGGGTGAGCCAGTGCGTGAGCCCCAGGCAGGGGCAGCATACACCGCGGGGGCATGACAGACCTCAGCAGCTGCTGGTGGAAGTGCTGAACCTTCAGCTGGTGTGCCGTCTTGTTTCTGAGCCACCTTAACCTGCGAAAAAAGGGAGAAGGACATGGTGCTTACACGGGCCAGCTCAGCACCCGTGACAGGAATTCGATATGTATTTACTGATATTCTGGGTGAAAAGTAATGTGTTAGTGAGTGTCTCCAGGTGGAAAATACTTAGGAGACCAAGACAACTTTTCTGATAAAGAAACAGGCTAGACAGAGGACTCATTCATTCCACAAACATCATGTAATGCTCTACTGTGTGCCAGCCATGGGGGATCAGCAATAAATGAACAAGGTCCCTGCCCTTCTAGAACAACAGACTCTCATGGAGAGAGAAGAGCCTCTGTACGTGGATGGTGTGGCAGATGCCATGAGTGTGCTGTGGTCTTACACAGGGTGGTCAGAGAAGGGGCTACGTGAGCAGACCTGATGGAAGTGAGCACAGCCAGAGTGACAACCTCTAGGGTAGTCAGGCAGAGGGAGTGGCCATGCCGAGGCAGAAGCAGGCCTGTCATGAACCTGGAATGAGCACAGGGAGAGCAGTTGGGGACACCCGGGGCTGGGGGGTGCCATGCAAGGACTCAGGGAGCAGCACAGAGAGATCAACTAGAGACCCGAGATGACCTGAATTGGTGGTGGTGGTGAGGACACCAGGGTGTAGGGGTCAAGGGTGGAAGCCGGCAGACAGACAGGCGGCTCTGTGAGAAGGGCTGGCAGCAGACATGGTGATGGAAGAGCTGCAGGACAGTGGGTCTGAGTCCAGGTGTGTGACCTAAGCCCAGGGAGGACACGCTGGTGTCCTGGGAGCCAGGGAAGGCCTCTAGTGGGGCAGGCTGGGCAAAGATTAGGTTCCCATGTTGAGTTGGGAATGGGGTACAGAAGTCTGGGATGCAGGGAAGAGGCCTCGGCTGGAGATGCACAAGGGGAGCTATCAGTGCTAAGGACAGAAAGAGATTACCAAGGGAGGGGGCAGAAGGGAAGAACAGAGGGCAGGGGGCTATGCTGAGAGAGAGGGGTCGAGGGAGACACGAGAGAGGGCCATCCTGACGCAGGCAAGGCATCCATGACTCCAGGAGGCGGCCAGGCCAGTGCTAAGGCTGCCATGGGTCAGAGAGAACTGTGAATGCCCTGACCACACAAAGTGCATCTGAGATGGGTCGGCAATGTCATCCACCCACTTATAGACACAGGAGAGGGACCCCGGGGGTATAGGCAACTGCACAAAGTTTGCTGGACCCAAATGAAACCCAGCGAGACAGTTTTCAGAGAGAACACCCCATGACAGCCCAGGGAGGACGAGGCATATCACAAGACCCCGCATGGTGCACTGTGGCAGCCCCTCTGTGTCGCATTCCCCCAGGGTCCCCACTGTGAAGCCCCTCTCAAGAGGTGACACAGCCCTACATGGCCAGGACCGGATAGCTCAAGCGAGGACCTGGGCAGAGCCCTGAGGAGCTGGACATGCTTGGGGTAACCAGGAAGGGCAGCAGGGAGGGCCACAGCCAAGGGCCATAAGGAGGGAGCCCTGTGAGAGGAGACTGGAGGGCAAGAGGTGGAGTCGCTAAAATGCTGCTGTAGAAGACAGGGTGGCGGTTTGAGCAAGGCGGCAGCAGGAATGACAGGGAAGCAGATGGATCTGGAAGCAGAGGGAACACGGGTGGAGTTGGGAGTAAGGCCAAGGTAGACCTCTGGTTCCATCAATGAGAATGGACATGGTGTGTCCTTAAACCATGAAGACCAGGAGACAAACAGGTGATTCCAAATAAAATTCGACTACCAGGACCCTGAGTGTTTTGAGGAGAAAAGGCATGTGAAATCAAAGCATGGAGAGTAAGTCACACCCCCAGAACTGGTGGGAAAGACCTTCAAAAAGGCAATCCTGCATCTGTCTTCACTTTTTCTGATTCCACCCACTTTCCCTCCAAACACATGTTAATCCACACTCTTTGTGAAGTCAGGTGGGGCAGGGGTACACTTAGGAGGCCGTGTGGCAGGCTGAGCACTGACCTGGTGCAAGAGATGCCTACTTTCCCTGCATGGCCCAGGTCCAGGAGGCCTTTGGCCAGGTTCTCCTCAGTGATGGGGCACTCTGCACTCGGCGCCAGCGCCCTCAGCCGGTCATTCACGTCCACACAGGGTGCCGCAGGGAAGGCCCGCATCTGGCGCCTCAGTTTCTTCCGGGCTGTGACAGCTTCCCTCCACCTGGAGGACACATCAGCATATCATCACTGGGTGTTTTATAGGTTCACCACAAGGACAAATGCAAAAACAAGCTCCAGTGCCCTCACACGGGGAAACACATTTTTGGCACTATGTTTAGGTCTTTTTCAGCAACAGTCCTCAAACTGAGAAATGAATCAGAATTAAAACTCAGGCATGGGGAAGACCTGTATCAAATGAGAGGTGGTGAGCAACGAGACTACTGAACTGAACAGCAAATGCTGAACCATCTTCAGAGGCCAATTTGGCAACATGGGTACAAATAAAAGATACACATACCCCCTGACCCAGCAAACACCAGACAGGAATTTATCTCCAGACACATGTGAAATATTTGTACAGGGACTCTCACTACAGCACTCTCTGTCATAGCTAAAGAGCCAAGTAAAAGTCCATCACCAGGGGACCAGGGAGGTCATTTATGGTGCATCCTTGCAATGAGCTGCCTCAAGGCCCTGCAACAACCAGAAGAGCCCAACACGCTGCCGCAGTCAGGTCTCCACCTCCTATCAAATGGAGTAAAGAAAGGCTTAGCAGAGGAGGACACATGCTCCCATCTGTGTTAACACCCACAAAATGGACAGAGGTTTCTGGATGGGTACACAAGCAGCTATTGCTCCTGAGGAAGAAGAGGTCTCTCGTGGAATGGAGACTCATTGCTCACTGAATTCCCTTTTATCTGGTTGCAACTGCCAAGTACACTATGACTTATCTCAAATTTTGTTACGAAATGAATCACCATATAACATACATAACGCATATACACCCAGTTTAAAGATTAATGATAAATCTAATACCCACGTGCTTCTGTCCAGTTGAGAAACGGCAGCTGTGACCAGCACTGAGATGCCCATGGCCCCAACCACCACACTGAGTTTATGTTCCTTATTTTCCTTCTTTTCTTTAGGGTTATACTACTATATATAAATCCAAAACAATCTATTTAGTTTGAATATACATTGCTTGGATGTTGTATACATTTCCTTAAGAAGTGCTTTTTTCACTATAAATTATGTTTTAGAAATTCATCCACGTGGGTGCATACAGCTATAATTTGTTTGGCTTCTTCATGGCCCCTCCCTATGTTTTGCACAGTGGGTAAATGACTGTAAATACTTGTCAAAATACAAAACAGCCCCCCACTAATCTAATTCATTGCTTATCCCTTAGTTTATACCCTTTTGTAAGGAACATGTTACGTGTGTGTATAATTGACTTTCTGAAAGTTTAATCTTTTTAAGAGACTCTCCCCGTGTGCATGGATTTTATGTGTAAGGACACAGGACTCACCTCTGGAGATACTTGCAGAAGCACTGAAGTTCTTGGAGGGTCTCCTTTGCAGTCTGGAAAATTTCCTCCCCAAGAAACAAGTCCACCAGGTGGGCACAGACATCCTCACAGCAACGGGCCCTGCGGAGCCTGTCGTCTGTCTCCACCGCGCTCCTAGGGAAGAGGGCAATCAGCACAGGAGACACTGCACCCAGGGCCCCCAAACACTGAGGGCTTGCCTTAAAAGCACAAGAGTCCATGTCCTTAATACTGAATATAATTACATCTTCGCTCCAAGAGAAGCTCTAAGATTTTCATTTTACTTAACATACAGACACCTGGAATGACAGACAAAATAGAACAAGAGTAGTATAGAGTACTAGATTATAGGTCTAACAGGGCCCTTGTAAATGGTCAAGAATAAACCTTTGTCTTAAAAATAATTAAAATTTTTAATTTTAAATATCCATTAAGACAACTGCAACATCTTTTCATCATCATATCTGATGTTTGCAATAAGAAGTGTCACAAGTACATCAGAGCTGGCAGCCTACAGTCATGCGGCAGTTGCCCTCAGATAAACCAGTATCTAAGAGAGAGCTTTTTACAACAAAATTCTGTCAACCAAAGGAGCAAAGAAGACTTTATCAAATACATTTAATGGCAAAATCAAAGTAGCTTAAACAGGCCAGACCCATTTCCAACAGCGATGCTCTGGAACAGGTGGAGAGGGCCCTGGGGCTGAGCTGCAGTCCAACTCTCCCGGAACTGCAGAGAACAGCACTTTCCCTACATATCAATGAGCCCTAGGTTTTACTTATCTCCTAACACCCCTGCCTGAGATTAAGAAGAGACATATACCCATCATCTGTGAGGTCTCCTGCTTACAGTAAACAGGGACAGAGACTCCCAATTAGTAGAGATGGAAAGAAACATGAATTAAATAATACACTTCTGCCTCCCAGCTGTGTCCCCATCTGCACCAGAAGCTGTGACTGTACTAACGTCCATCACCGTCAGGGCCACCTCGGGGGAGTTTATGTACGAGGACAGACTTCGCTGCACAACTGAACTTCTTTCTCCCTGAAGCTTGGCATTAAAATTTTAAAAGTTCTTAAGTGAGAAAGCTCAAAGAAATCTTTTAACATATGAAACAGGGGAAAGACTCTTCTACGTGAGGAAAAATAACAGTAAGTAACCTCGTGTAGAGAAGACACCAGAGAATTCTTTTGCTAACAGACACAACAGACCCAAAGCAGGGATAAGAGTGAAAGCCAGGCCCTCTCTGGAAGCAACACACACACAAATACAGGGATGGTGTTTCAGTGTTTGGCTATCCAAAAGATATGCTCCTGTCAAGAAGAAAGCAGCTAGCTTGAACTGCACAGCCCAACCACGGTGCCTCAACGACCCTGGACCCCTCACCCACGCCCCTTGCACTGCATGACACCAGCACTTCTCTTACTTCAACTCCTGGGAGCAGGTTTCCCTAACGCAATCCATCACCACGAGTTCCATCAGCTCTGTGGCCAGGCCCTGGCTGAGCTGAGTCAATACCAGTTCTCTCTCTTGTTTCAACCTAAGGGTAAAAGAAGAAAAGTACAAGGGTAACGTTTAAGAATAAAACCCAGCGTTACACACTCCCTGACCTTGAGAGTGGGGATCTGAGCTGTGCTGAGGGGCAGGCTCAACCCCTCTGACCCCATCAGACAGGCCACACAGCCACCCCCACTCAAGCTCTCCTGACCACCACCCTTCCTGCCACTCCAGCTAGGGAGGGGCTGCTGCTCACAAGGTGAGTGGGGCCTTGGGACCCCAACCCACGCCCTGAGCCACAGGGTACTGGGTGAGCCATGGTCTGATGCTAGTACAGGGGACAACAGCAAGAGCATCCTAGGCGATGGTGGGTTCTCTCCTGTGTCCACACACTCTGACCCCCATGTGTACTGCAGGGACAAGACACACCTCTCCTCTTCAGCCCGTCGCCTCTCCTCCTCCTTTCGTTCTCTTTCCTTAGTCACTTCTTCAGCTGCAATGTGCCTCAAAATGCCTGTGGTTGCAGCTGTGAGCAACTCCTCCATGGCAGCATTGGAAACACTAGACAGAGCAAAGGGGATAGCAGTCTAAATAAACAAATAAACGCCAAGAAACCACATAACTAAACTTCTAACACTGGCAGGGAAACAAAATACTTATTTGGCTTTTAGCATGAAAATTAAGCCCATGGTTAGAAAGACTCAATTTATCAAAAGTGACTCATGAAGAAATAGAAAATCTGAATAGACCTCTAACTAGTAAAGAGATTGACTTAGTACTCAGAAACCCCTCCCAACAAAGAAAAACCCAGGATCAGATGGCTTCACTAGTAAATTCTACTAAACTTAAAGAATTAAATAAGAACCAGACCAACCCTTCTCAAACTCTTCTAAAAATGTGAAGAAGCAGGAATACTTCCTAACACTCTATGAAGCCAGCACTGCCTTGACTGGATACCACAGCTAGACAAGAACACCACTAGAAAACTACAAACTAATATTCCTTATGGATATTGATGTAAAAATCCTCAACAAAATACCAGCAAATCAAAGTAAGCAATATAGTTAAAAGATCATACAACATTATCACATAGGATTTATTCCTACACTGCAAGGATGATTCAACAAACGAAAATCAAAATCAATGTAATACAACCACATTAATAGAATGAAGGAAAAAAACCCCACATGATCATCTCAACTGATTCAGAAACAGCATTTAATAAAATTCAACACCATTTCATGATAAAAATACTCAATAAGGAAGAGAAGGGAACTTCCTCCACATGCTAAAGGCCGTATAAAAAACACCACGGCTAACATCATATTCAGTGGTGAAAGACTTGAAAACTTTTCCTCTAAGATCAGGAACAAGACAAGGATGCCCACTGTTGCTATTTCATTCAATACCATATTGGAAATTATAGCCAGAGCAATTAGACAAGAAAAGTAAAAAACATTCAAACTGGAAAGGAAGAAGAAATCTATGTCTGTTCACAAATGATAAAATCTTGTATATAGAAAATCCTAAGGAATCCACTCAAAACCTATTAGAACTAATAAACAAGTTCAGCAAGGTTGGAATACAAGGATCAAACACAAAAATCAATAGCATTTCTCTACACTAGCAATGAACATTCTGAAAATGAAATTAAGAAAACAGTTCCATTTACAATAGTAACAAAAAGATTAAAATAACTAGGAATAAATTGAACCAAGGAGATGAACAGCTTGTACAATGACAACTATAAAACATCACTGAAAGAAATTAAGGATGACCCAAACTAATGGAAAGACATCCCATGTTCACAGATTGGACAACAATATTGTTAAGATGTCAATACTACCCAAAGCAATCTACAGATTCAATACAATCACTGTCAAAATCCCAACAGGATTTTCTGCAGAAACAGAAATTTGGAATTTCAAGGAACTCCCAATAGCAAAACAATCTTGAAAAGGAGAAAAAATCTGAAGGACTCGCACTTCGTAATTTCAAAACTTACTACAACTTACTACAAAGCTATAGTAATCAAAACAGTGGTACTGGAATAAAAAGAGACATACAGACCAATGGAATAGAACAGGGAGCCCAGAAAGAAATCTTCACATGTATGCTCAATTGATTTTCTTTCTTTTTTTTTTTTAAACCTAGTGTTTTGGGGTTTTTTTTAAGATTTTTATTTTTCCTTTTTCTCCCAAAGCCCCCTGGGACATAGTTGTGTATTTTTAGTTGTGGGCCCTTCCAGTTGTGGCATGTGGGACGCCGCCTCATCATGGCCTGACCAGTGGCGCCATGTCCACGCCCAGGATTTGAACCGGTGAAACCCCGGGCTGCCAAAGCAGAGCGTGGGAAATTAACCACTCCGCCAAAGGGCCGGCCCCCTCAATTGATTTTCAACAAGGGTCCCAAGACCATTCAATGCAGAAAGGACAGTCTTTTCAACAATTGGTGCTGGGAAAACTGGATACCCACATACAAAAGAATGTTGTCAGAGCCTTAGGTTACATCACATACAAAAGTGAAATCAAAATGGATCAAAGTCCCAAACTCAAGAGGTAAAACTATAAAACTCTTAGAAGAAAACAGAGGGGGAAATCTTTATAACACTGAATTTAGCAATGACGTCTTGACTATGACACCAAAACCATAGGCAATAAGAAAAAAATAGATACATTGGACTACATAAAAATTTAAAACTTTTGTGGATCAAAGGACAGTACCAAGAGAGTGAAAAGACAATCCACAGAATAGGAAAAAATATTTGCAAATCATGTACCTGGTAAGGGATTAATCTCCAGAATATAAAAGAACTCCTACAACTCAACAACAAAAAAAACAATTCAAAAATGAGCGAAGGACTTGAACAGACATTTCTCCAAAGATGATACACAAATAGCCAATTAGCACGTGAACATATGCTCAACATCATTAGTCATTAGGGAAATGCAAATCAAAACTACAATGAGATACCACTTCACATCAATTATGATTGTTATTATTAAAAAAACAACAACAGAAGACAGCATGTATTGGAAAGAACATAGAGAAATTGGAACTCTTGCGCATTGCTGATGAGAACGTAAAATGGTACAGCCACTGCGGAAAATAGTTTGGCAGTTTCTCCAGAAGTAGATCATATGATCCAGCAATTCCACTCCTAGGCATATACCCATAAGAACTGAAAACAACAACTCAAACAGTTATCTGTACACTAATGTTCTTTGCAGCATTATTTACAACAGTCAAAAGGTGAAAATAACCCAAGCGTCCATCAACAGATGAATAAACAAACTGTGGTTTATATACATGTGTTATGTGTCTGTATATATTTAATGAAGTATTATTCAGCCATTAAAAAAAAAAATGAAATGCTGATACATGCTACAACATAGACGAACCTTGAAAATATTTATTTATTTATTTTTTGAGGAAGATTAGCCCTGAGCTAACATCTGCCACCAATCCTCCTCGTTTTGCGGAGGAAGACTAACATCTGTACCCATCTTCCTCTACTTCATATGTGGGACGCCTGCCACAGCATGGCTTGTCAAGCAGTGCCACGTCCGCACCTGGGATCCCAAGTGGCAAACCCAGGCTGCAGAAGCGGAACGTGTGTTAATCACTGTGCCACTGGGCCGGCCTCAAACCTTGAAAATATTTTTGTGTCTGAAAAAAGCCAGACACAGAAGGATAAATACTGTTAGATTCCACTTATATTAGGTACCTACAAGAGGCAAATTCATACAGACAAAAATAGAATACAGGTTACTAGGGGCTGGGGAAAGAGGAGAATGGGAAATGATTGTTCAATGGGTATAGTTTCTGTTTAGAATGATGAAAAATTCTGGAAAAAGATGGTAGTGATGCGTACACACCATTGTTAATGAACTTAATGCCATTGAATTGTACACTTAAAAATGGTTAAAATTTTATTACAATAAACAGTTAAGCCCATGGAAATCTTTATTATTTCATTTATTTTTATTTATTTTTAGTTCCATCAAACAGAAAGCATGTATATAACTCCACTATAAAAAAATGAATCAAATCAGTTAACAAGACTGATCCTTTTGTGTAATCTCCATTTACATAGGTGAAATAATACCTTTTCTTATCATTGTGTCACTTTGTGTACTAGGATTTTTTTGAAGAAGAAGATTAGCCCTGAGCTAATATCCCCCACTAATTCTCCTCTTCTTGCTTGAGGAAGATTGTCCCTGAGCTAACATCTGTGCCCATCTTCTTCTACTTCATATGTGGGACGCCTGCCATAGCATGGCTTGATAAGCAGTGCATAGGTCCATGTCCGGGACCCAAACCAGTGAACCCTATGCTGCCCCAGGCTGCCAAAGCGGAGCGCGTGAGCTTAACCACTATGCCACTGGGCTGGCCCTTGTACTAGGATATTTAAAAGATGTTTGAAATCCTTAAGAAAGTGTGATTTACTAAATATATTAGATTTTAATTAAGTTTATAAAAATGCTTAAGAGCTTACAAAGATTCTGATTATTAAATTTATTAAGACTAGATGTTTGAATTAGAATCAGATACATAAAATTTGTTAACGTAGTCTGAAACGTCTAAGGAAACTTCATTGTGGTATAAGATGGAACTGGTATAAAACGTTTAAGGGGATTTAATCTGTCAAATTTATAAACTGAGACTTAATCCAAGATCAAGCAAAGTGAGTGTTTTCAATTTTTAATACAGAATGAACTAATTTTCACTATATTTTTAAGTCAAGTTTAAAATTTAAAGAAAAATAACTTTTTAATTTACAACCTAATATTGCTGAAAAAGCATACACAAATGGACACTACACGCCAGTGAAAAACAGAAGGTCAGGAACATGAGAAATTACACCCACCTAGAGAAGAGGACCCACATTCAAGCACATACACATGGTTAGTCTCTTGCTGAAGACTGATAGCAGCTTTCTAGGGGAGCACCTGGAGGCCAGGGTGTGGCCCCAGCGAGTACAGGCAACTTGAGAGCAGCAGCGGCACCACACTTACCCCAGAGCTGTGGCTGCGAAGGCCGCCCCGGCAGCACCAACCTCCTTGCAGTCCCTCTCGAGAACCTCCTGGATGAGCTCATCCACCACCTGTGCCAGGTCCTAAGGAGAGGCCAGGCGGGGTCAGGCGTGCCGTGCAGGCCCCGAGAGACACTGCCCCAATCGAGACCCAGCTGATGAGCAGTCTAACTCTACAGCCTTCACAGAACCACGGAGATGGAGACCAGACGACCTTCTCCTGACACATCCCGCCCAGGGCAGAAATCCCTCCCAGACCTTGTCTGAAGGTGTCCAGCGACCCTCACACGGGTTCAGGTACACTGCTTCTAGAAAGATTTCCTGCTAGTCAACGAGAGGAGCCTTCTGGAGAGGACGGGGCAAGCCTGCTGGACAGCACCCATGCAGACGGCCCTGCTGCTGCCCCACATCAGACACCTGCAGTTTCTGTGGCCATTATCCTGCTCCTCTGAGGCCTCCTGCATCCTCCAGGGCCTGCCGAAGCAGCAGGGTGGTGAGACTGAGTCCCACAACGTGTGTGGTGGACAGGCCCTACTTGACCCCAGGGGCATGCCTGTCAGTAGGCACGCGCTGCTGCCCGTGGTCCCGCACGGCCCTAGTCGACGTGTCCACTGGCTGTCTCGGATGAGCAGGTGTTGGGCATCACACGGAGCAGACATGTAAGGGCACAGGATGGCACGCAGGCGGGAAGACATGGACACGTGTCTGCAGAGCCCTAGCAAGGGAAGCGCTCAGGGCAGGGCCCCACTTATCTGACCAACAGCATCAGGGACATAAAAGCTTTCAGTTCATTCTCTAAAGCTTCAACTGCAACCTTTCAAAGAGAGACACAGGCAACAAGGCAGGAAGCTGAATGTAGTCCCTGCCCTCAGAGCTGCAGGTTTCTCATCTGAAAGACAGGCTGGAGCCCTGAGGGCCAGGGTTCTGAGACAAGCCACAGCCAGAATATTCTAGAGCCACACGCGCAACCACCTCAGCAGGTTCAGTCAATAGACAACAGGCAAACTAGACATCCGACACTGCTGGACATGTGTGCACAAGGGCTCCTCAGGGCCCTCGTCTGGAAGATTCCTTACCGTGTCAGAGTACACAGGCACAGGCTTTGGTGGAAGCAGCTCAGGCTGCACGGTAGGCTGCCCAAGGGGCTGGAAGGGGCTGGGTACCACACTCGGGGCTGGTGCCGGTGCCGGGAGGTGAGGCAGAGAGACTGGTGTGGGCAGAGGGGGAGGAAGAGGCTGCGGGAGGAGAGCGGGTGGGGACACGTCTGCCTCTGCACTGCTCTCCTCTCCTCTCCCTGCACCTGGAAGGGAACAGACAAACATCGGTGTTGAGGACAAGCCCTGGGCCACCCAGAGTGACCCTGAGGACTGGCTACCCTCCCTAAGCAGACCACACATCATGGGGGACAGCATGTGCTTCACCCAGGGGAACCAAGCCCCAGGACATCAAAGAGCCACTCAGGCTGCTCTTGGCAAGAAATGTCTGTGCATGAAGAGATACCTACACCCCAGCCCCTGAAGACGACAGTGCTTCTGGCTCAGAAGAGGCTTCCCAGAGGGAAACACAGCTAGGTCCCTCCTGCAACTGCAGCTCACTCACCTGCTGTGTCCAAGGGTCTCTGAGTGCCCACGGGTAGCTCAGCAGCCAGGCTCTCTCCGACATACTTGTTCTGGGAGTTGAAGCTGCACACGGGTATGTGACGAGGGACAGGGGGCAACGGCCCTCCATTCACAATTTCCCCAACTGACACGGTCAGCTTCCTGGTAATAAACACCGACTTCCTGGTCTTGGATAACCCCTCAGGTTCCAGAAACGAGGACCGGTTCAGCTCAACACAGCTATGCAGACCACAAAGAACCCAGAGAAGAGTCACACAGGTAAGAAGCCAGCCTTCACCTTCTCAGTGCCTGGCAGCAATGCCAGAAGCCCCACCTCATCACTGTGTCACCACATGGTGATGTGGAAATGAGAAGGGAAAGCAGCAAAGGCTAGTTTGCTGGCAGGGCCCACAGCACACCACTGCCAGCCCGGGCATTTCCTCCTGACATGGGAGCTGCCAAGCCGGGTCGTTAACAGCCAGGTGTGCAGCAACGCGCACCTACATGCTCCTGGCTCATTCCAAAGCCGCCACATTTCCATCAGAACAGGACTGCACGAAGCAGACAGATGGGGGCTGGTGGTAAGTAGCCAAAGGAGAGAGGGGCAGGAAACACCAACTTTGGACACGAATGTTGTGCGTCATGGCACCATTTTCTGGGATGGGAGCCATGAGTTACATGAGGCTCTCAAAACACTCTGCTCCATAGCAGAGAAGCCCCTGGCCTAGCCTACCAGCACCTGTGTGGACTGTCACAGGGGGGATCAGCAAATGCTATCTTCCAGGGACAGAATAAGGAAGGCTCTAACCTCTACCTTTGGGTTCTTTAGTAATTTGTGAAAAGCAGTGATTTTTGGAGTCATAAAGAAATGGGTCTCAGCCCCAGTGGGCCAATGAACAGCATGTAACCTGGGGACACTCCCCAGCCATTCTGAGCCCGGTGTGTTCACCAGCTCCCCAGGGAGCCAGCAGGTGGAACATGCCGTCTTCAGGGCCGAGAACACAGCTAGGGTGACCCAGCCCGTTATCAGGGCTTCAATAAAAGAGAAAAAGGAGAGAGGCCCACACTTCCACTCTTGGCTGTTACCCATCAGAGACGGCGAGCCCGTGGTAGTTGAGGAAGTCTGTGGCCTCTTCGCAATCTCTGAACAGCAGCATGCGCACCACGCCGTCCAGGGGAAAGACAGTGGACCGCTGCGTGCTCACAGTGTACGCGACGTTGAGTGCTCGGAGAGCGTCCTTGCGGATCTAAAAGGAGAAGCCAAATGACTGCAGTCTCAACAGTTGCGGTCACCCCACGGCCACAGAAATGCCACGTGGGATCCTGCGGTTGCTCAACCCCCTGGAAAGCAAGGTGGCACCACAGGTCCCAGGCTTAACGAACATCAAGCCATGTGCTCAGTGGAAGATGCCCAAGAATGCATGCAGAGTGGTTTCATACAAAGGAAAGGCAAGGCTGAGGCTTTATTTATAAGAAACACTGGACAACAAACCATCTGTCAGTAGGGCATGGAAACTAAATGGGGCAGCATCCACTCAACAGAAAGCTGCACAGCTGCCAAAAATTATCATGGAGACAATCGCATGGTGTGAAAAAATGCATGACACATCTGCTAAAGGTGACACCAGCAACATGGCGGCCTCAGCTCACCCGGGACTCTCTCCCCTCCAAATTACAACCAAGAAGAGCAACTGCTTTCCAACCAAAAACACCATCCTAACAACAGAAATCGTCAGAGACCCATAGCAGCCAAACAATGGAAGGTGGAGAGGCTGCAGGGGGCCTCGGAGGAGCTAGAACAGGGTAGGAGAGAACTTCGCTCCGCCCATAGAGACCGAGATCGCGGGTGCGGGTGCGGGGACAGAGCAGGGGAGGGGTCGCACGTTGGGAGATCGTCCCGGACTCCCACTGCCAGTGCAGCGAAACCCTCTAACAGGGGAAAGCTTTCATGTGGGGGAGCCCCAACAAGCCAGGGCCCCGGGAGACCAGAAACTGAGAGCTGATCCAATAAGGGTCACAGTGAGTGAAAGTGCCCCTCCTCCCCCAACCAACCCTACCTGCTGCCATCTTGGCTGAAGGCACAGGGCTCAGAAAACAAGCCTCTTGATCCCCATCTAGTGGTGATCAGCTGTAACTGCAGCCGGACAATAACGTGCAAAACCCACCCCTCTAACATCCAGCAATTTGTAAAAGCTCTAGTCCAAAAGGAAAACAATAAAAATACAAAAGTAGCTCCTGAGGGCTTGGAAATGGGTAAACTAAGTGAAGAGGAGTTCAAAATAGCTATCCTCAAAATATTCAATGAGGTAAAGGGAAATATACAGAAACAAGCCAATGAGTTCTGGAGTTACTTCACAAAAGAGATTGAAATTATAAAGAACAATCAATTAGAAATACTAGAGATGAAAAATACAATGGATCACATAAAACAGAATACGGATTCCCTGAATGCCCGTGTAGACACCATAGAGGAGAAAATTAGCATAATCGAAGACAGACAGGCTGAATGGCTCCAGACAGAGGAAGAAAGAGAACTAAGACTTTAAAAAACTATACAAAATCTCAGAGAAATAGCTGACTCGATGAGAAAATGCAACTTAAGAATCATCGGAATTCCTGAGGGCGAGGAAAAGGAAAATGGAGCAGAAAGTGTGCTCAACGAAATAATAGAAGAGAACTTCCCAAATCTAGGGATTGAGAGAGAAATGTGTGTGGAGGAAGTTTTCAGATCTCCTAGATCTGTCAATGTAAAAAGACCTACTGCAAGGCACATAGTAGGAAAAATGGTAAAAATGAAGGACAAAGAAAGAACACTCAGGGCAGCAAGGCAGAAGAAAATAACCTACAAAGGAACCCCCATCAGACTTTCAGCGATTTCTCTACAGAAACCTTACAAGCTAGAAGAGATTGGAGTGACATATTTAAAACTTTAAAGGATAAAAATCTTCAGCCAAGAATACTCTATCCAGCAAAAATATCATTCAGATATGAGGGAGAAATTAAATCTTTTCCAGACAAACAAAAGCTGAGGGACTTCGTAGTCACACGACCTCCACTACAAGATATCCTCAAGAAGGCTCTCATGCCTGAAAAAACAAAAAACGGGAGTAAGGGGTCACAAAACACACAGTAGGGAGACAAATAGAATTTGAATAGGATAGCAAATATTCAACTATAGCATTAGGATAAAGGGAAGGAAATCACCAAAGCAAAGACAATCTTATCACTCTAACCACAAACTCACAACACAAGTTGGAATAAGAGATGAAAATAATAATTTAGGAGGGGAAGAGGAAAAGGACTGAAACAGTCTAGGCTAAGGAAGTAAGAGACCACCAGAAAATGGACTATGTTATACACGAGATTCTGAATGCAAACTTCAGGGTAGCCACTAAACTAAAAAGCAGAACAGAAACACAAAACATAAATAAGGAAAAATCTAAGAAACCCAGCATAAGAAATTGCAGAAGTCAATGGGTAGGCTAAAACACACAGGACGAGAAACAAAGGAAACACAGGAAAACCAGAAAACGAGCAACAGAATGACAGCATTAAGCCCTCATGCATCAACACTCACCACCAATGTAAACGGATTGAACTCTCCCATAAAAAGACACAGAGTGGCAAAATGGATTAAAGAACAAGATCCAACAATTTGCTGCCTCCAGGAAACACACCTCAGCTCCAAGGACAAACACAGGCTCAGAGTGAAAGGGTGGAAGACAATACTCCAAGCTAACAGCAAACAAAAGAAAGCAGGTGTCGCAATACTTATATCAGGCAAAACAGACTTCAAGATAAGGCAGGTAAAGAGACACACTGAGGGCCAATATACAATGATCAAAGGGACACTTCATCAAGAAGAAATAACGCTTATAAATATCTATTCACCCAACATAGGGGCACCAAGGTTCATAAAGCAACTATTAACAAACCTAAAAGAAGGTATCAAAAATAACAGAATAATAGTAGGGGACCTCAACACCCCACTCACATCAATGGACAGATCATCCAGACAGAAAATCAACAAAGAAACAGTGGAGCTAAATGAAAAGCTAAAACAGTTGGACTTAATAGACATATATAGAACACTTCATCCAAAAACAGCAGAATACACATTCTTCTCAAGCGCACATGGAACATTCTCAAGGATAGGCCGTATGTTGGGAAACAAGGCAAGCCTCTACAAATTTAAAAAAATTGAAATAATAACAAGCATCTTCTCTGATCATAATGCTGTAAAGCTAGAAATTAATTACAAGAAAAAAGCTGAGAAAGGCACAAGGATGTGGAGACTAAACAATACGCTATTGAACAAGCAATGAATCATTAAAGAAATTAAGGAAGAAATCAAAAAATACCTGGAGGCAAATGAAAATGATAACATGCCATACCAACTCGTATGGGATGCAGCAAAAGCTATATTAAGAGCAAAATTCATCACAATTCAGGCACATCTTAACAAACAAGAAAAATCCCAAATCAGCAATATTAAACTACACCTAACTGAATTAGAGAAAGAAGAACAAACAAAGCCCAAAGTCAGCGGAAGGAGAGAAATAATAAAAATCAGAGCAGAAATAAATGCTATTGAAACAAAAAAAGCAGTAGAAAGGATCAATGAAACAAAGAGCTGGTTCTTTGAGAAGATAAATAAAATTGACAAAGCCCTAGCCAGACTTACAAAGAAAAAAAGAGAGAAAGCTCAAATAGACAAAATCAGAAATGAAAGAGGAGAAATAACAACAGACTCCGCAGAAATACAACGGATTAGAAGAGAATACTACGAAAAACTACATGCCAGCAAAATGGATAACCTAGAGACAATGGATAAATTCTTGGACTCCTACAATCTCCCAAAGCTCATTCAAGAAGAAGCAGACAATTTGAACAGACCAATCACAAGGAAAGAGATTGAAACGGCCATCAAAAGCATCCCAAAGAATAAAATCCCAGGACCAGATGGCTTTCCTGGGGAATTCTACCAAACTTTCAGAGAGGACTTAATACCTATCCTTTTCAAGCTATTCCAAAAAATTAGGGAGGATGGAACACTTCTTAACACATTCTACGAGGCCAACATCATGCTGACACCAAAACCTGACAAGGAGAGCACAAAAAAGGAGAACTACAGGCCAATATCGCTGATGAACATAGATGCAAAAATTCTCAACAAAATTTTGGCAACCCAAATACAGCACTTCATGAAAAGGATCATACAGCATGATCAAGTGGGATTCATACCAGGGAAACAGGGATGGTTCAACATCCGCAAATCAATCAACGTGATACACCACATCAACAAACTGAGCAATAAAAACCACATGATCATCTCAATAGATGTAGAGAAAGCATTTGACGAGATCCAACAGCCACTTATGATAAAAACTCTCAACAAAATGGGGATAGAAGGGAACTACCTCAACATAATAAAGGCCATATATGACAAACCCACAGCCAACATCATTCTCAATGGGCAAAAACGGAGCACCACCCCCCTGAGAACAGGAACGAGACAAGGATGCCCTCTATCACCACTCTTGTTTAACATAGCTCTGGAGGTCCCAGCCAGAGCAATCAGGCAAGCAAAAGGAATAAAAGGAATCCAAATGGGGGGGAAGAAGTGAAACTCTCGCTGTTTGCAGACGACATGATCTTATATATAGAAAACCCCAAAGAATCCATTGGAAAACTTTTAGAAGTAATCAACAACTACAGCAAAGTTGCAGGGTATAAAATCAATTTACATAAATCAGTAGCATTTCTATACTCTAATAATGAACTAACAGAAAAAGAACTCAAGAACACAATACCATTCAGAATCGCAACAAAAAGAATAAAATACCTCGGGGTGAATGTAACTAAGAAAGTGAAAGACCTATACAAGGAAAATTACAAGGCTTTTCTGAAAGAAATGGATGACGACATAAAGAGATGGAAAGACATCCCATGCACGTGGACTGGAAGAATAAACAGAGTTAAAATGTCCATACTACCTAAAGCAATCTACAGATTCAACGCCATCCCAATCAGAATCCCAACAACATTCTTTACAGAAACAGAACAAAGAATCCTAAAATTTATATGGGGCAACAAAAGACCCCGAATTGCTAAAGCAATCCTGAGAAAAAAGAACACAGCTGGAGGCATCACTTTCCCTGACTTCAAAACAGACTACAAAGCTACAGTAATCAAAACAGCATGGTACTGGTACAAAAACAGGTGCACAGATCAACGGAACAAAATTGAAAGCCCAGAAATGAAACCACACATCTTCTACAAACGAGCTGAGGGCATACAATGGAGAAAAGAAAGCCTTTTCAACAAATCGTGCTGGGAAAAGTGGAAAGCCACATGTAAAAGAATGAGAATTGACCATTCTTTTTCACCATAAACCAAAATAAACTCAAAATGGATCAAAGACCTAAAGCTGAGACCTGAAACCATAAGGCTTCTAGAAGAAAATACAGGCAGTACACTCTTTGACATCAGTATTCAAAGGATCTTTTCGGACACCATGTCTTCTCAGAGAAGGGAAACAATAGAAAGAATAAACAAATGGGACTTCATCAGACTAAAGAGCTTCTTCAAGGCAAATGAAAACAGGATTGAAACAAAAAAACAACCCACTAACTGGGAAAAAATATTTGCAAGTAACGCATCCGACAAAGGCTTAATATCCATAATATATAAAGAACTCACACAACTCAACAACAAAAAAATCAAACAACCCGATCAAAAAATGGGCAGGAGACATGAATAGACATTTCTCCAAAGAAGATATACGATCGCCAATAGGCACATGAAAAGATGTTCATCATCGCTGATCATCAGGGAAATGCAAATCAAAACTACACTAAGATATCACCTTACACCCATTAGGATGACAAAAATAACTAAAACAAATAGTAACAAATGTTGGAGAGGTTGTGGAGAAAAAGGAACCCTCATACACTGCTGGTGGGAATGCAAACTGGTGCAGCCACTATGGAAAACAGTATGGAGATTCCTCAAAAAATTAAAAATAGAACTACCATATGATCCAGCTATCCCACTACTGGGTATCTATCCAGAGAGCTTGAAGTCAGCAATTCCAAAAGTCCTATGCACCCCAATGTTTATTGCAGCATTATTTACAATCGCCAAGACATGGAAGCAACCTAAGTGCCCATCAACAGATGACTGGATAAAGAAGATGTGGTATATATATACAATAGACTACTAATCAGCTGTAAAAAAGAACAAAATCGTCCCATTTGCAACAACATGGATGGACCCTGAGAGAATTATGTTAAGTGAAATAAGCCAGATAGAAAAGGACGATCTCTGTATGACTCCACTCATATGAGGAATTTAAACCTGTGGACAAAGAGAACAGATTAGTGGATACCAGGGGAAAGGGGGGTAGGGGGTGGGCACAAAGGATGAAGGGTTGCATCTACAACACGACTGACAGACAATAACATACAACTGAAATTTCACAAGATTGTAATCTATCATTAACTCAATAAAAAATTTAAAAAAAAAATGCATGACATGGAATTCAGTGAGAGTCAGAGACAAAGCTGTTTCACAGTATTATAACAAGTGCTTAAAAAAAAGAAGACAAGGGGCCGGCCCCATGGCCAAATGGTTAAGTTCACACGCTCCACTTCAGTGGCCCAGGGTTTTGCCGGTTTGGATCCTGGGCACGGACATAGCACCGCTCCTTGGGCCATGCTGAGGCGGCTCCCAAATGTCACAACTAGAAGGACCCACAACTAAAAATATACAACTATGTACTGGGTGGCTTTGGGGAGAAAAAGGAAAAAATAAAATCTAAAAAAAAAAAAAAAGAAGACAGAGCAAGCCCTTGCATCTAGTGGTTAAGATTCAGCACTCTCACTGCCACGCCCTGGGTTCATCTCCTGCTTGTGGAATCATACCACCCGTCTGTCGGCTGTCATACTGTGGAGGCAGCTCACATAGAGAACTAAAACACTAACAACTAGGATACACAACCACACACTGAAGCTTAAAAAAACAAAAGACAAAGGAAAAACATGAAAATGCTAACAAAATCATATTTGGGTGCTAGGAGTCTGGGTGATTTGCTACTCCTCCTCTGGTGTTCTTCAACAATTCGACCAGTATTTATCGAGGGTTTCCTTCATACCTAGCACTATCAATGCTGAGAAAAACAGTGAAGAAAACAAGACCCCTGTCCCCATGGCCGACGTGTCAGGCAGAGACCAACACTGAACAAGTGGATACATACACAGCAGCATACACTTAATGGGGACAGCACGACAGAGAGGAAATGCACAAGAGAAGGACAGGGAGTGGACAGGGTGGGTGATCAGGGTGGCCCCTGCTGAGAAGGTGGCAGTCAAGCCAAGATCAAGAGAAGGTGATCACTGTATTGCTCTCTGAGGAGAAAGAACTGCAAGTGCAAAGGCCCTGAGGTAGGCGTGTGCTGGGGCTGGAAGGGTAGGAAGGCATCACTGCAGGTGGAGCTGAGCAAAGGGAGCAGGAGAGGAGGTCCAGGAGACACTGGGACCATGTGGACCACTGCTAGTGAAACACTGTTTTTCTAAAGAAAAAGCACTCAGATTTCCTTTTTGTTTAAAGTTATTGAAATGGGCACAAATAGTCAACATTCTAATATCATTAAATAATCATTTTAAAAATATTAACTATAAGGGGCCAACCCAGTAGTGTAGTGGTTAAGTTTGCACACTCTGCTTGGGCGGCTCGGGGTTCACAGGTTCGGATCCCAGGCGCGGACCTAGCACCGCTTATCAGGCCACACTGTGGTGGCATCCCACATAAAACAGAGGGAGATTGGCACAGATGTTAGCCAATCTTCCACACAAAAAATATGTATTATTAACTATGACTTATTTAGCAACTGTACAAAGTTCCCCAAGTGGTACGTTGTTAGAAATCTTTCCATTTGTTCCAGAATTTCAGTTCTGTTGGCAACTGTCAGATCTGACAATGAGCAAACTTATAGAAGATCTTTGCCTGGGATGTGATTATGGGTTCAGTCACTGTTTACAGGAAGACTTGGTGTGTGACCAAAGAGAGTGACTGGAGTCATAGGGCCCCAGGCAAGCGGCCAGGCATGCAGAGGCAGCCAGGTAGGTGGCACATCCTCACACCCCCGCAGCAGGTAGCAGAGCACGTGGGAGGCATGAGGAAGGCTCTCTTATCATCCCCAAGTGTTCTACGGGGCTGAGGCTGAAGACCAGACTTTGAAAACTCTGAGACCAATAGTTCACACTACACTCTGTGAAGCCCCAGGTAAGAGATGGTCTTCCCCCTTCTTTGTAGCCCAGCGCACAGAACAGCACACAACAAAGAGCAGGCACTTAAGACATTTACTGAAATGAATTGAGCATCATTGAGCTCACTGCACAAACTTAGATCAAGTACACTGAGAATTTCTAAGTGAGGAATTTTGGGCTGCAATGTTCGCATTTCGGTTTCTTGTTTCCATGGAGGATGACAGTGCTGAACTCAAGTTATCTTTCTAAAGAGATTTCTCTTACGTGAACTATAAGAATAGTATTTTCCATTGCATGGCCTTTCCATCAGTGACCAGTGGTGCCAAATCCTGAAAACAGGGTAACACCAGTAACCCCTCAGGGGGCTGCCACAAGGGTTGCACAAGAGTTAGCCTAAGACCTGCTAAAATGTTCTTGGAATAGTGAAGCACCTAAATATCACAAGTGACAACCTGCTTTCTTCCAATGCTGCAAGTACAGTGATGTTACTCACCTGATTAAAGTAACAGTGTAATAGACAACCGTTCAGATAAGAAGCTGACTGGACCAGTTTGAAAAATCTCACAAAATTGTTACTATTCAATGCAGCAAAAGCCTGAACAGCAAATTTCACTTCAAAGGAGTTTCTAACAGCAGGATGGAACTGTTGCACTTCTCTGTTAATTAAAGCAGACAAAAAGAATTAGAATTTTATTTTTAACTAGACAAAATTTCCATGAAAATAGATCTGATTAAAAAACTAGATTTCAACCATACTGAGAAAGAGGATCTTAATAGCGACATGTGCCATTATATTCATAATTTACTAACGCCAAAGCTGCCGCTCTTAGGCTGGGTTGATAATGAAGGTTTTCTTTTAAAAGGTGATGAATAAAGTAAACAAGCAACAATTTAAGAACTGATTATCAAAGAGTTACTTTAATGCCAATTGACTGCCAGCTGTGTTTGACCACAAGGTCTCAGAAAAAGTTAACTGTGTTTCGTTCAGAAATAAACTTATTTGAATGAATTATTCAAGATAGGTGACAAATGCCTATCATAATGTTAAAAGACCACACAGCCATTTCCCATAACTAGTATATCTCCAAGGCTTAATTTTAAAACTTAAAATCAATCACACATCTAGATATACTGCAACAAGATTCTCGGGGAAAATACTAAGTTAATAAAGAGTTTCGGCATAAATAAGGGAATCTTGGAACCAAAGGGGACAGTGGTTGTCATCAAGTCCATTTACCAATGAAAGGAACAGAGGCCCAGGGGACACTGCCTTATTTTTCACATTAATATCTACGTATGTATCAGGCCAGGGTTTAACATTCATTCTTACCTAATATCCCATCTTTACCATTTTTGTTTCACACAATTTTTTCCTCTTCTATTACTTAGATCTTTGATGAGGTGTGTGCGCACATGTGTACGAAGAAACACACCTGATCCAACAAACTGCTAACAGCCCTGGTAGAGCACCCTGGCATTCCCTGTACTGTTCACATGCCTATTCTGCTCATCAGGCCAATTCCTTCCTCATTTTCTCTTGTTGACGAGAAATTGTTCTCAGAAAGGATTCGGAGTCTACTTTAGATATACTGGTGTCGGTGTGCATCCCCATCCTTCTGCTCCTGGTGGCTCAGCTCAACAGACTGTACAGCCCAACCCAGGTTTCTTACTATAAACATCCCAGTACTCAATATGAGAGAGAACTCAACGCTATCTGCTACTACTAATCCTAACAGCTCTTTTCCTGTTTAAACCTTGCCTTTCCATACATCTTAGGCTAGCTTTCAAATCTGAAAATTCACCTTAGGATGTCCCCCTTGTTGAGATTGAGCAGAACATTGTAGCCCTGGAACTCTGCTTCGCTGGCACAGAAGACTCCCTTGTTTCTCAGGTCCTGGTACATCTCCTTCAGACTCTGAAGGCACTTGGTCATGTTCTCATTGTTGATCTTGGCATCAAAGGAGGACATGGGCTCCTCACACATGAAGTGAGCACAGTGGATGTGAAACCGGGTGCACTTCTCGATCAGGGACACTGTCATGGGGTCGCATAGGTGCTGCTGCGTGATGTCCTGGCCATGAGTGAGGGGAAATATTATATATACACACACGCACCTCATACACACCCAGGTGGCCTTGTAAGCACACATAAGCCTTATATACACATGGGTTTCATATACACACAGGTCTCCTGCACATATTCCCATGCATAGAGAATCAACTATTAGAAAAACGACACTTATTACCCAAATTTCTCATACTTCAATTTGAAACAAAGCCCATTAAGCACATTTTAATAGGACTTTGTAATGACTTTAACAGTTTTTGTTACAGATGAATTGTGACTGAGTGAAATGAAAAGGACTCTCAGGTTCACTTTGGAATTTACATGCACTCTCTAGCTTCCTGACAGGAAGTGGCCAATACCTTCCGTATGCCCCGTGTGCGGTTCCACACGAAGTCATACCAGTCCCGCAGGCTGCCCTCCTTCTGGTCCATGATCTGGGTCACCAGGTAGTCCATGGTCCTGCTGAGCACTGCCGAGGGCCGCAGCTCATGTGGCAGGGGCTCCTCCTGATCTGCTGAGGAACGGCTGTACTCCTTCACGGCCGCCGCGTGGTCCACCTGAGGACAGGGAGTAGGGACAAGCTGCTGAGTGGCAGGTGCTGGGCCAGCCTCCCAGCAGCAGTGCCTTAAAATAAGGGGGGGAATCACACACACTCATACAAGAGCAACACTACAGAATACAAGTGTAAAATTTCTGTTTGAAGGTGACAAATTCAAAGACAAAATAAACTGATAATCTTGTTTTTGGCAAATACGACAAGGAATGAAGATACGAGGCCATTACATCAAAAAGAATGTAAGTGAAGAAGTGAATCAAGAAAGGATGTAAGTGAAGACCCACCTCCTTGGCTCCAAGCACGAAGGTGTAACAGATAAAGGACTTTAAGGCATTTTGAACGCTCTGAGCTCAGACACCAGATTAAGTCTACAAGGCCCAGAAACAAAATGGAACCTGCAGTGAAGAGTGAGGGGCATAACAGCAGCAGGGGCCTGCTGGGGCTGGGGCCAGCTGCCGCAAGATGCCTGGAGTTGCATATTCCACCTGCAAAAAGAGGCTGAAGACACACAGCTGAGGGCAGAAGTAGAGAGGTCCACAGGACCAGGCCCTGAGCACCCACTACCAGCTGCCATCACTGCCTCCTACGGCAGGAGCCCTGGGCCTGTGCCATGACTGCTGCTGCCAAGCTGGGGACGCCGCATGGGCAAAGGCAGCCGTAAAACCCCCGGCCAGGAGAGGAGGAGAAGTCAACAAGCAAAACTAACAAAGAATAAAAGCATCTAAAATGGTGTAGATTTCCAGGGAAACAATTTGGGAACATGAATGGACACATGTTCAGGAATCCTAAGAAAGATCACATCCTCTGAGGTAGCACCTTAATTCTTAGGATTTATCCAAAGTAAGTAATCTAAATACCCTAGCAGCATTACACACATGTCCAACAGAATTATTAATAAAATTGAAATATCAGTAACAGGCTATCTAATAATGATTGCAAAATGGGGAGTTCTGACAGAGCTACATAATCAAATAACATGCCATCATTTAAAATGGCCAAGTAACCTCACACAAGGTTGCTCAGCACACACCTCAGAACACAAACGATCTTAAGGATTGTTCACAGCACATCCCCACCACCCTATAAAGATAAACACCCGAATCAAGTATCAATATGCACAGAAATTACAGAAGAATCAGCCTCCCCTCCCTTGCACATCCCACCTCCACCTGGACGATTCACTACAGACAGCTGGAATACGGTCTGGGGAGAAACCCCAGGGGGATGTGGAGCTCCACCTGGTCAGTCCCTGGGACCACTTCAAATACGCTCAGCTGGCTCCGGGTCTCACGCATGTACCGCTCCTTCTCAGGACACATGTCTGGGCATGTCCCAACAAAAGTCCGCGCTTTGTCCAGGTCAGTTCTTTTCACCCGAGCTAAATGACGTCAAGCAAAAAGTAAGAGTGTACCAAACAGTTACTAGGAACCCAGAGAAGCGCATCTTCATAGTGATAAAAGGAAAAATAAAAGTAAAAACAAACATCACACACAAATTACTAAGGAAAAGAAAGAAACATTTTTAAATTTAACAATCACTGGGCCTTAGAGAAAGCAAAGCACAGCCTGTCACACGGGGGACGAGGCATCCAGGTCCATGAAGACCCAGGCCTTCCCTCCTCAGTACTCGGATCCTCACTGCACACCACAGGCAGGGGCACACGTGTGTTCCCAGCTCCTGTAACACCTCAACGGCAAACAATCACACTGCAGGATGTGTATTAAAAGGATGAACTTATAAAGGTAAATACTCAAAACATACCAGTAGTCTAATACTCTCAGTAGTTCACTATGTTTTTAATATAACAAGAATCACATAATGGAAGTTACCTGGGTCCTGAGCTGAATAAACCACTATTATTACGCACAAAATTAAACAGTTATAACAGTATCTTTTAAACGAAATGGAATGCAACAACTTCACAACTCAAATATACACATCTATTTTTTATTTTGAAAAATTCCAATACGTACTAATGATTTTATTTGGAATATAAAAGTCACCATATCAATGATATAATGTATGATGGCAGCTTTTATTACTGTGTTAAGGAGGCACTGTGATTATTCCACTTATTCACAGCTTTTAAAAAGAGGAAAATCCTATAGCTAAAATTTAATTTTAAAAAAACTTCGCAAAGAAGAGCACATGTGCTTTTTCCTTTTATTTTTGGTCACCGCACTTTTTTTTTTGAGGAAGATTGTCCCCGAGCTAATATCTGTGCCCATCTTCCTCTATTTTGTATGTGGAATGCCTCCACAATGTAGCTTGATGAGCAGTGTATAGGTCTGCACCCAGGATCCGAACCAGCAAACCCCGGGCCATCGAAGCAGAGTGCACAAACTTAACCACTACGCCACCAGGCCAGCCCTCACTTATTTTTTTATGTTAAGAGAATACTTACTTTTTGAATAGGTAATACATTCACATGGTTCAACAATCCAAAGGTATAAAAATGTCGAAAATGGGACACCCAGCATGCCCCCCTCTCTCTTGACAATCAGAGTGAGCAGATCCTTTTGCATCTCCCATAACTATTTTATGCACACCTAAGCAAGTATACTTACATGTACACGGTAAGTATATGACACACACACACACACCTTTCTCCCTTTTTTGTACACAAATGGTAGCACACTACATACTTCCCACATCTTGCTTTTTCACAAAAAGCCTTGATGATTTTCCATAAAGAAACTGCAGTCTTCTTTCAGGCTGTTTAGAATCCCTGTGTGGACAACTAGTTTCCAATCTTTGTCATCACAAACGACCTTGTGTACGAATCACACACACATGCACGATGTTTGTGGGGTACACTCCTAGACATGGAATGCCAGGTCAAAGGCATGAGTTTTCTTAAGTCTCAAAGATATTACCAACGTGCACTCCCCCATGGGAGCGCAGTTGTTCACAGCCTGTCCAAGGACGCAGCCCCAAGCCGAGCCTGTGGGGTGAAACTTGCATCTCCACTGTGGGACAGCCAGCCCACGACACTTCCTTTTCTGTGACCTTGTAGACCCCTTACTCCTCTCCCACTGCATTTGGTCTTTTTCACACTGACTTCTACAGTACTTTCTGTATCAGAGAATTCAGCTCTTTGTCTGTGTTTTGAGTTACAGATTTTTTTCCGCGTAAATTGACATTTCATCCTGAGCTTTATTTGTGGTGACTCTGTCAAACAGAAAATTTTGATTTTTTTTACACAAGTTTTCCGAATGTCTAAAAATTGCCCTTTAACTTGTTCAATTTAACGTGAATCAATGGTTTAGAGACTTTCTTACAAAAATAAAGTAAAATCGAAAACATATTTGCATTATATCCATGCCTACACTCACCTTTCAGGAGACTAGTAAACAACAAAGATCATATGTAAGACATCAGAGGTCCAAGACTCAACAACAGTGGAGCTGCATGGACAGGGGTCACTCCCCTCCCTCAGGACTCCAAGGAGATAACTTTATCATGACGTCAGCAGGTCACCTCTGCCAAAACAACCCAACATACCTTGCCGCATGATTCTGTCCCTCTGGTCAAGCAGGCGGTACTTCTCCTCAGATGTCTCAGCCACAGTGCCTATGAGGGTGCTGAGGGAGGACACACACGGCCCAAGACCCTCAGAGCCCTCAGAGCCCTCGTCAAAAGGGTCTCCTTCAAACTGGTGGGCCTTCAGAAGACTTGGCTTTTTCACTGGAGAGCTACAGAGAAAACAACACATTAAGGGCCGTGGATCCAGCACGCATTTATATCATTTCCACATCCAAACACTTCCCTTATCTTTCAAGGTTTTCTGCTCCTCTCAAGCTGATAAACTACAAGCACTGAAGTGCAATGAGCCTTGATAATGCTGGTGATGACAAAGGTGTTAGTCATATTATTCACGGTGATTTTAGAATTTTGAAATATTTTATACATTTTGAAAATGAGATGAGCCCATTTAAACAGCTGAAGTGAGTATCCGTAGATTTCTATCTCAAAGAAATGAAATTCAGCCTGAAAAAGACAACACTTGAACACTATGAGGGAATATCAGGCCTACGTGTTTTCACGTATAACTTCATTTCAGCAGAAAGATGTACTAAAAAGAGCTGGGCGTTCTCTCTCAGTTTTCTGTTCTAGTCAACATTCTGTGAACTTGAATGTGGAAGAAGGTATGACTGGTTGAGCGAGATGGGAAAAGCACAAGCAAACCAGCAAATAAATTACTAACTACAATGGGGAAAGTGAGGAAAACAATACACTGGCTAAAATATGTGAAGGAGGACATTACGGAAGACCTGTCACAGCAGCCTGATGTGAAGAGGAAAACAGGGTCACATAGGGAGGGGAGGGGAGACAGATATGCCCACACAGACAGAGAAGTTGTGTGAAGTGCACCACCACACACCAGCTGACCTGAGGGCTGCGCACACAGCTACCCAGTTATAACATAGCCAAAAAGGAGACTGCCTCACTGTGAAAAGCTGGACTTACGAAAAGTCACATGGCAAATCACTAGAAGTGGTTGTTAGGAACATGTGGTTATTACAGCCAGTTAGATGTTTCAAGGGGAAAAGTTATTGCTTCTACATTTATGCATCAGGTGGAACTGCATGACAGCAACTGCATGGGATGTGGGACCAAGGTGACAAGCAAGGAGCACCAGAGCCCCTTCGCGGCCCTGGCAAGTGGCTCTTACGGTCACCCTTGTGACCCCCCCAGTTCTCCTTCCCCCGGGTCCTCTCCCTCACCATGTCCTCCTCTCTGCCTCCCCGTCATCCCTTAGTCTTTCTCAGGCTGTCAGCACATCACCCCACTTCCCATGCTTGACTGCTGTGCAGTCGCTCCTGTCTGCAGACATTAGAAGTCAAAGCGCCCACATGCTGTGTAAAACACAGTCACTGGGATGGATCGGCCACACCTCTTATTCAGGAGGCTACCGGCTGCAGCCCTCCCCACAGGCTTGCCAACAGGGGAGTGCTGGAAGGGTGTGTCCTCGGTGCCCTCGCCAGCTTCACTGTCACCTGGTTTCTTCTCCTTGAGGGAAAAAGGTTTCTTGTTGGGACCTAAGGACGCCAAGAGTCAGAACAGAGGTTATGATAGCACAAGTCACTTGACACAAGACTTTCTCACTTGCTTTTTGAGAAAGTAAAATTATCATTGTTACAGGAGGTAACAAAGTAGCACAAGGAAACACCACGAGACAGGAGGATCCACACAGAGCCAGTCCCCCACGGCCCTGCAGAAGGGGCTCCCACTCAAAGCTTCAAGGGTCTTGTAAACACAGCATTAGAGACTGCAAAGAATAACTAAAAACTCACTTATTTTCTTCTTGTGCCAAAAGATAGCCATGTCTTCATGCAAACCTTTTCCCTTCTTCCTGGCCAGAGCTGCAGAAGCCTGGAAAATAGTCCACAATACAAAGTATGAGGACATTAAGAGACGAAAGCAACTGAGATTAAACACTCAAATGCACTGCACAGACCTCTGTACAGGAGCGCAACGCCTCCACCTATACGTGTTCTGACCACATCATCTGCCTCTAGCTGTGGCAGCCACAGCCCTCACCTCCCTTACCTGGCTCACAAGCACGTATTTCCTCTTCTCCCTTTTGAAATTAATAACTTTACTGTGGATAGAAGCAAGAGGCTTGGCCTCGTTGGCATTTGGTAAGATGATTCGCACCATCCGATTACACACACAGCAATGGAAAGACTGCCAAGTCACACTTCAACACAAAAGGAAGCTGCAGAATGATACATGTGTAACACAACTGATCACAAAACACAAAACCGACTAATATACCTACAGATAGACCTATGAAAATGTCTAGAAAAATACACACCACACTAGGTAACCATGCTTGCTCCTAGGTAAAAGGAGAGATGGGGTGATCAGAGACCTTAGCTTTGTACGTATACATGAATTGATTATGATAACAGTGTATTTATACATTATATATTTGTTACATAAATATGTTTTAGGGTTCTGCCAGAAGAATAAGCACACTGCAATAGCCAAAGAATAACTTTAAAAAAATGAGGATTACCCTATGACCCAGCAATTCCACTCCTAAACATATACCCAACAGAACTGAAAGCAAGGTCTCAAAGAGATGTTTGCACACTCCATTCATGGCAGCATGATGGAAGAAGCAAACAACCTGAGTCCATCAACAAATGTGTACATAAACCAAATGAGGTACATTCATACAGTGGAATAATATTCAGCCATAAAAAGGAATGAAGTACAACCACACAGATGAACCTGGGAAACATCAGGCTAATTCAAACACATCAGGTACGAAGGACAAATATTGTATGATTCTGCTTATATCAAATTTTAGAATAGGCAAATTCATAGAGATAGTGAATTAGAGGTCACCAGGGGCCAAGGGAAGGCAAGAATGGGGAGTTACTGCTAAACAATTACAGAGTCTCTGTTTGGGATGATGAAAAACTTCTGGATATAGATAATGAGGATGGTTGCACAACACTGTGAATGTAATCAATGCCACTGAATTTTTTTTTAAATCCATAGGAAGGAATAAGTAGCAAAAGCCCTAAAACTGTGCATACATTTTGGCACAGACCGTCCACTTTCAAGAATTTAAACAAAGGATATAAACTAATCAGAAGTATATGAGCAGCCGGCCCCATGGTCTTGTGGTTAAGTTTGGCATGCTCCGTTTCGGCTGCCTGGGTTCAGATCTTGGACACAGACCTACACACTGCTCATCGAGCCATGCAGTGGTGGCACCCCACATAGAAGAACTAGAATCACCTATGACTAGGATATACAACTATGTAGTGGGGCTTTGGGGAGAAAAAAGAAAACAACAAAAAAAGAAAACTGGCCAAGTAAGTAAACAGGATAGAATGCCATGGAGCATTTAACAATCCCCTTCTAATCTAGACTATTTGATTTCAGAAAATACTAAAGATTGCTACACGAAGAGGTTACCAAACCGTATATGCAACCTGATCCGACTTGTGTAAAAACAATGTGACTACATATTTGCAAAGATATTAACCAACATATGTACAGTTGATATCTTAGAATTATGGGTGATTTTGTACCCCCTCCCATAAGACTTTCTGGTTTTCTTCCTTACATTGACAGGCAATTATTTTTCTCATTTAACAAAAGTATAAAAACATGCTCTGTACTTTATAAATTCCTACAGAAGCTAATTTTTCCCCACAAGAATATTCAGAAAAAAATTATAAAGATATAAAACTACATAACATGAGCAGTCCCTAAATGTGTACACACTACAGCCAATGTGTTATATCTGTATGTACTTATACACATGTTGAAAGTCAAGATAGAAACCAAATAACAGCAGTTATCTTGTAGGACAGGATTACAAGGGGATTGTACTTTTTCTGTACTGTTTGAATGTTCACAATGATCATATACCATAACCAAATAAAATCAAAAACAAAACAAGAAAATTCACTTTGTGTGATGTGTGTGTAATGGGTGTGTAATGTAATGTGTGTGTAATGTAAACATGTGTGTAATAGGTGACAGAGCCACTCCCATGCGTTTCAGAGGAATGACTTCATGGGAATCACTCACCCTGCATTTCTAGAACACTACATTCAATAGAGATTGCAAGCTTTTCACAAATGACTCCAGGTTGTGAAATAGTGCATTTCAGCCTCCCCAAGTTAAAAATAAGATATTATAGTAGTGCACCATATTCTAGCAAGTAAGTAACTATGATGAAAAAATAGGTTTTAGGAGGGGCGGAACCAAGATGGTGGAGTGAGTGGTCTTCTTTGTCTCTCCCCCTTCGAATCTACAATTAATTGGACATTCACCAATTAACAAAGGATATCCAGATAGCATCTCAAGATGCCTAAGAGACTAATACTGCTATACATCGGAAGGTTGATGGACTTCCCCCTGGGAGGAGGTGGAAATAGGTGAAAACTCTCCAACCCCCGGACAGCTTAGTACCTGCAAGAGGCTCTCTTCCAGCTGACTCCCCAATAGCATCACCACGCACCAAGGGTGGGAGTGTGCACTCACCAGCAGAGCGACAGTGGAAATAGGTGACAACAGCCCTACCTAAGCACCCCGCGATTCCACCTAAGCCCAGGGGGGATCCCGAGGGTCCGCACCCACCGGCAGGGAAGGCCTCTGCTCGCCATTGGCAGGGAGGCCCCGCCCAGAAACCAGAACAAAGGGAAGCTCCCAGAGAGCGGATTCCCCGGCTCCGCACCAGCCCGCCAGCTGCTGCTGGGCCCACGGTCTCTGGCCATGCACAGGTCGGTGCAGGGGGCGCCCAGACTTCCCGTGGACGTGCTTGGGGAGTGGGGTGAAGCTCCAGCACCCGGTTCTGTGGCCCAGGGGGAGGCTCCAGGGTCCCGCACCCCCCCCGGCAGTGAGGGCTTCTGCTCTCCATTGGCAGGGAGGCCGCGCTCAGCATTCGGAATACCAGGAAGCTCCCTAGAGCAGAATTCCCCACAAGGCAGCAGTTTGTCAGCCGCCGCCAGGCCCACGAACTCTGGCCATGTCCCAGGCAAGGCAAGGGGCTCCCAGAGATCCCATGAGACTGGTGTGGGGCAGAGTGGAGCTCCAGTGAAATGGATACATGGCCCAGGGGAGAACACCAGGTTCCTACAGCAGCCTCAGCGAAAGCCTCTGCATAGCACTAGTGGAGAGGTCCCGACTGGCAATCACAAGGCTGGAAGGCCCTGGGGCAAAAGTAGCAGAGCTAGGTGAGCTAACGACATACTGCAGAAGATACCCACAGCTCTGCTGGGACAAGTGTGATTTTGTGGGCTCTGTCAGTGATAAATCTGCGATTATAGGTGATCCTACTCCCAGTTGCTTGGAAAGCCCATAACACCGCTGCAGACTCCAAGGAGGGAGCGCATCTAAGTGGGCTGCAACAGTAGGCACCAGCAGCCTGAGGCCCCCTTGCGACTGCCCCCACAACTGACGAGGGACCCCACAGGATCACTGTGACTACAAGGAGGGGTCCAGGTCCAGTCAGTAACAGATGGCAGGGTTCCTGGTTGCTGCAGTCTAAACAGCTGCTCCCCTCCGACACGAGTCACAACAAGTGGAAGCAGCGACTAAACTCTATCTCTATGCGGAGGCACAAATCCACGCCATCAAGCAGTGTGAAAAAATACATTAAATCTCCAGAACAGAAGAAAAATGATAAGCATCCAGAAAACAATCCCAAAGACAATGAAATCTATAACCTAAATGACAATGATTTCAAAACTGCCATTATTAAAAAACACGACGAGTTAAAAGAGAATTCAGATAGACATCTCAATGAGTCCAGGATCTATGTCACAAAAGAGCTTGATACTATAAAGAAGAACCAATTAGAAATACTGGAGATGAAGAACAAAATGGAGGACATTAAGAAAAATCTGGCCTCTCTGAACGGTAGCGTCGATAACATGGAGGACAGAATTAGCAATTTGGAGGATAGGAATACAGAAATGCTGCAGACAGAGAAGGAGAGAGAACTAAGACTAAAAAGAAATGAGGAAACTCTCTGAGAATTATCCGACTCAATTAGGAGATGCAACATAAGGATTATAGGTATACCAGAGGGAGAAGAGAAGGAGAAGGGGACAGAAGGCCTGTTCAAGGAAATAATAGCTGAGAACTTTCCAGACTTGGTAAGAGAGATGGAACTGCATGTGACAGAAGCCAATAGATCTCTACACTTTATTAATGCAAGAAGACCAACCCCAAGGCATATAGTAGTGAAACTAGCAAAAGTCAATGACAAAGAGAAAATACTAAGGGCAGCCAGAAAAAAGAAAATAACTTACAAAGGAAACCCCATCAGGTCGTCGGCAGATTTCTCAGGAGATACCTTACAGGCTAGAAGAGATTGGAATGAAATATTCAAAACTCTGAAGAACAAAAACCTGCAGCCAAGAATACTATACCCAGAGAAAATATCCTTCAAATACGATGGAGAAATAAAAACTTTCCAAGATAAACAAAAGTGACGGGAGTTCATCGCCACAAAACCTCCTCTTCAAGAAATGCTCAGGAAGAACCTCATTCCTGAAAAATTAAAACAAGGAAAAGGGTTACAAAATCCAGAACAAAGGAGATAAGCAGAAGGACAATAACAGAAAGTAGCAGCTCTCCATCAGAACAGGTTAGCAAAACTTAAATAAAACATTAAAGGTAAATGGAACGGAAACACCAAGAATAAACACAATCTACACATTTTAACCACAAACTCACAACACAAAAAAGAAGAGAAAAAATAATCTGACAATAACAACCTAGAAGGGGAAGAGAAAAGGGATGGAACGTTTTAATTTAAGGAAATAAGAGGCTATTGGAAAGAGGACTATCTCATCTATGAGATGTGTTATACAAACCACCTGGTAACTACTAAACAAATAACAAGAATAAAGACACAAATTACAAATAAGAAGAACGACAATACAGAAATTTACCTACTTGAATTAGGAATCCAAAAATCATGGGACGAGAAACAAAGGAAATGCAAAAGAACCAGAAAACAAGTGATAAAATGGCAACAGTAGGCCCCCACGTTTCAATAATCACTCTAAATGTAAATGGACTGAACTCTCCAATCAAGAGGCACAGAATGGCAGGATGGATCAAAGAACAAGATCCAACAATATGCTGCCTCCAGGAAACACATCTCAGCCCCAAAGACAAACACAGACTCAGAGTGAAGGGATGGAAGACAATACTCCAAGCTAATAATGAACAAAAGAATGCAGGTGTTGCCATACTTCTATCAGACAAAGTAGACTTCAAACCAAACAGGTAAAGAAAGACAAGGAGGGGCAGTATATAATGATAAAAGGGACGCTCCACCAAGATGACATAACACTTATAAATATATACGTACCTAACATAGGAGCACCAAAATTCGTACAAAAACTATTAACAAAACTAAAAGGAGACATCAACAGCAATACAATAATAGTAGGGGACCTCAACACCTCATTAACACCAATGTACAGATCATCCAGACAGAAAATCAACAAGGAAATTATAGAATTAAATGAAAAATTAGATCAGATGGACCTAATAAATATATATAGGACACTTCATCCAAAAACAGCAGGTTACACATTCTTCTCAAGCGCACATGGAACATTCTCAAGGAGAGACTATATCTTGGGAAAGAAAGCAAGCATCAATAAGTTCAGGAGGGTTGAAATAATATCAAGCATCTTTTCTGATCATAACGCTATGAAACTAGAAATCAACTACAAGAATAAAGCTGGGAAAGGAGCAAAAATGTGGAGACTCAACAACATGCTACTGAACAAACAATGAATTATTGAAGAAATGAAATATTATCTGGAGACAAATGAAAATGAAAACACACCATACCAAATTATTTGGGACGCAGCAAAGGCAGTCCTAAGAGGGAAATTCATTGCAATACAGGCTCATCTCAATAAGCAAGAAAAATCTTACATAAACAACCTCAAACGACACCTAACAGAATTAGAAAAAGAAGAACAAACAAAGCCCAAAGTCAGTAGAAGGAGGGAAATAATAAAAATTAGAGCAGAAATAAATGACATTGAAACAAAAAAGACAGTAGAAAGGATCAATGAAACAGAGAGTTGGCTCTTCAAAAAAATTAACAAAATCAACAAACTCTTAGCCAGACTCACTAAAAAAAAAAAAAGAGAAGTCTCAAATAAATAAAATTAGGAACGAGAGAGTAGAAATCACAACAGATACCGAAGAAATACAAAGGATCATAAAAGAATACTATGAAAAACTATATGCCAACAAATTGAACAACCTAGAAAAAAGGATAAATTCCTACACTCATACAACCTCCCCAAACTGAATCAGGAAGAAACAGAGAATCTGAATAGACCAATCACAAGTAAAGAAATAGAAACAGTAATCAAAAACCTCCCCAAAAATAAGAGTGCAGGACCAGATGGCTTCTCTGGAGAAGTCCACGAAACATTCAAAGAAGATTTAATACCTATCCTTCTCAAACTATTCCAGAAAATAGAGGAAGATGGGGCACTCCCTAATACATTCTATGAAGCCAACATCACCCTGATCCCCAAACCTGACAAGGACAACACAAAGAAGGAAAACTATAGGCCAGTATCACTGATGAACATAGATGCAAAAATCCTCAACAAAATTTTGACAAACCAAATACAGCAATACATCAAAAAGATTATACACCACGATCAAGTGGGATTTATACCAGGGACACAGGGATGGTTCAACATCCACAAGTCAATCAACGTGATTCACTACACTGACAAAATGAGAAACAAAAACCACATGATCATCTCAATAGATGCAGAGAAAGCATTCGACAAGATCCAACATCCATTTATGATAAAAACCCTCAATAAAATAGGTATAGAAGGAAAGTACCTCAACATAATAAAGGCCATATATGACAAACCCACAGCCAACATCATTCTCAACGGACAAAAACTGAAACCCATCCCTCTCAGAACAGGAACAAGACAAGGGTGCCCACTTTCACCACTCTTATTCAACATAGTACTGGAGGTTTTGGCCAGAGCAATTCAGCAGGAAAAAGAAACAAAAGGAATCCAAATAGGCAATGAAGAAGTAAAACTCTCGCTGTTTGCAGACGACGTGATCTCATACATACAAAACCCCAAAGAATCCATAGAAAAACTCTTAGAAACAATCAACAGCTACAGCAAAGTTGCAGGGTATAAAATCAACATACATAAATCAGTAGCACTTCTATACGCTAACAATGAACTAACAGAAAAAGATCTCAAGAACTCAATCCCATTCACGATCGCAACAAAAAGAATAAAATACCTTGGGATAAATTTAACCAAGGAAGTGAAAGATCTATACAACGAAAACTACAAGATCGATGACGACATAAAGAGATGGAAAGACATTCCATGCACATGGATTGGAAGAATAAACAGAGTTAAAATGTCCATACTACCTAAAGCAATCTACAGATTCAACGCTATCCCAATCAGAACTCCAATGTCATTCTTTACAGAAATTGAACAAAGAATCCTAAAATTCATATGGGGCAACAAAAGACCCCGAATTACTAAAGCAATCCTGAGAAAAAAGAACAAAGCTGGAGGCATCACAATCCCTGACTTCAAAACATACTACAAAGCTCCAGTAAGCAAAACAGCATAGTACTGGTACAAAAACAGGTGCACAGATCAATGGAACAGAACTGAAAGCCCAGAAATGAAACCACACATCTATGGACAGCTAATCTTCAACAAAGGAGCTGAGGGCCTACAATGGAGGAAAGAAAGTCTCTTCAACAAATGGTGCTGGGAAAACTGGACAGCCACATGTAAAAGAATGAAAATCAACCATTCTTTCTCACCATTTACTAAAATAAACTCAAAATGGATCAAAGACCTAAAGATTAGGCCTGAAACAATAAGTCTTCTAGAAGAGAATATCGGCAGTACACTCTTTGACATCAGCTTCTAAAGAATCTTTTCGGACACCATAACCCCTCACGAGGGAAACAATAGAAAGAATAAACAAATGGGACTTCATCAGACTAAAGAGCTTCTTCAAGGCAAGGGAAAACAGGATTGAAACAAAAAAACAGCCCACTAATTGGGAAAAAATATTTACAAGTTATTTATCCAACAAAGGGTTAATCTCCATAATATACAAAGAACTCACACAACTCAACAATAAAAAATCAAACAACCCAATTACAAAATGGGCAGGAGACATGAACAGACATTTCTCCAAAGAAGATATACGGATGGCCAATAGACACATGAAAAGATGCTCATCATCATTAATCAGGGAAATGCAAATCAAAACTACACTAAGATATCACCTTACACCTCTTAGAATGGCAAAAATATCCAAGACAAAGAGTGACAAATGTTGGAGAGGCTGTGGAGAAAAAGGAACCCTCATACACTGTTGGTGGGAATGCAAACTGGTACAGCCACTATGGAAAACAGTATGGAGATTCCTCAAAAAGTTAAAAATAGAAATACCTTATGACTCAGCCATCCCACTACTGGGTATCTATCCTCCTAAGAACCTGAAATCAGCAATTCCAAAAGTCCCATGCACCCCTATGTTCATCGCAGCATTGTTCACAATAGCCAAGTCATGGAACCAACCTAAGTGCCCAGCAACTGATGATTGGATAAAGAAGATATGGTATATATATATACAATGGAATACTACTCAGCCATAAAAAAGGACAAAGTCGTCCCATTCACAACAACATGGATAGACCTTGAAGGTATTATGTTGAGTGAAATAAGTCAGACGAGAAAGATGAACTCTGTATGACTCCACTCATAGGTGGTAGTTAACATATGGACAAAGAGAACTGATTGGTGGTTACCAGGGGAAAGGGGGGTGGGGGGAGGGCACTAGCAGTGAAGTCATGTACCTATAACTTGACTAATAATGATGTACAACTGTAATTTCACAAGGTTGTTAACTATCATAATCTTAATTAAAAAAATAAAAAATAAAATAAAAATGCATAGCTGAGGAAAAAAATAGGTTTTAAAGTGACAAAGTTCAAGTGACCTTTTGTTGGGAGTACTCACATGATCAAAAAAATACACCACGGCGAGCTTCTTGTTGCGCCTGATGTAGATGCGCTGCACTTTAGCAATTTTGCCGAAGTGGTTCTCCAGAATGGTTCTGTCATTGAGATAGTCGGGGATGTTCTTGCACTGGATTGCTGTGACTTCAGCAGGAGACAAGCCCCCAAGACTCTCTGTGCTCTCACTTCTTTTACTCTGTCGCCCAGGAGTTCCTCTTAGAGAATCTAGGGGATCAAAGAACAGACACAGAAACCTATTGGAGGGAATGTTTTCAAACAACAGGAAGCTCTAATTACGTAAGAGGAAAGATTTCATGGTTGTAAGACCTGCTCCAAGATCCAATGCTACATTTCATTCCTAATGTTTACAGGCGATTTTCCAGGAAATTCAAGCTAACATCCAGGGAAATTTACCGAGAACTTGCAAGCAGGATTTACTAAATGTTGTACATTTTTAGAGCTCACCTTCCTTTTTATCTCTACTTTCAGTTTCTTCCTCTTTATTCAGACCTGGAAGACGGGAAGGTGCCAGGACAGACTGACTGCCTCCTGGGATAGCCATGTGGTCATTTTCCCCAGACTCAGCACAGCCAATTTCCTTTTTAGATTCCTTGTTGCCCAGACGACCTACTTCTTTATTGCTTTTGAAGACATCCTGTATCGTCCGACCAAACAAAGTGCCTCCTCGGGGTCGACTCAGACGAACAGGTCTTTTGTCTGGAGGATGATCGCCCCTTGACAGGGGGTCCAAGTCTTCTGCTGCATCATGGCCGTGTCTCCTTGGGGAGCGATCCTGGTCCTCCTTTCTTTTCAGTCCTTTCATGAGGCTGGGAAGTGGCTCCATTTGGGAAACAGCTTCTTCACATCCTTGTCGGGCACCTGTTTTGCTAACCGGGAAGTGTTCACCCAAAGACCCTGAAGATGTGGAGAAGCTGGTGAAGCTACTACTAGAACTTCCAAACAGTGATTTAGGGCCTCTCTTCTCTTCCTCTGCATTTTGGTTTGACAAATCAGAAGTAAAAGCAGGCAATGAATTATTACTATTAACTGGTTTTGAAAAGGTAGAAGTTGAATTGGTAGCTGAACTACTAGTCACCTGAGAAAAAGAAAATGGGGCCAGTCCTCCAGGTCCACTACTAATTGGGTGGAAAAATGTGAAAAATCCAGGGGTAATTTGGCTCTGAGTTTTCTCTGGCTCTGATTCAGCCCCCAATATTGGTCTGAACATTGAATTTTCCCGAGGTTTAAAGCTGAATTCAGTTTTCCCAAAACCAGTGGTTGCTATTTCTCCAGTTTCTGGTCCAAAAGTAGAAGTACCTGCCAAAGCCTCAATGTTGGGTGATTTAAAACTAAATCCTGGGTTTCCGGGTACACATGAACTTGAAGGTCCAGAAGTAGCTACAAAAGCCGGAGTGTGCTCAAGTCCAGAAAAGAGTCCGACATTTGAGGTTTGGGAGAATCCTGTTTGTGCTGAAGAAGAATGACTTACTCCTGAAGATGCCGGAAAGCTGGATACCTGTGAAAATCCTGAACTTTTCCCAGATAACGTATTGTTTTGTCCAAAAAGGGAAGGCTGACCAAATCGAAATGGTGGCTTAGCCTGAAATGTTCCCATGGAACTACTAGAAGATGTTGGGAAAACAGGCTGCTGCCCACCAAAAGGATTAGTTGGGTTCATCTTCTGATCTAATTATTGGAAGGTAACAAAAAGTACGTGTGCAAAAGGAGTCCTCTTCCTTGAACAGTCTGTTGAAGCAGGGAGCTCCCCTTCATCTTTAGAATAAGCTGAA